TTTGCACCGCAACCGTCACTAAGCCGCCATGTTAGATGGCAGGTATGAAACTTTATACAGTCAGATTCAACACAGTGGCCGAGAGCGCACCTTTACTTAGACTGATGGGAAAGTTTTGCTGCGTCTTTAATTGTGGTAAACGCTCAGAGCGAGACAAAGATGTCTATTTTTTAAAATACAGGCCGTAATTTGCAATCAAGGAAAAGAAACTTTCGAAAAAGCGACTGCAGCAATGGTTAGCAAGCTAGCATTTGTGACGATGCAGTTCAAAACGGGGAAATCAATAACGTGTTTGTCTGTTCTTGTCATTTTCACCTAAAGTTAGTTGTTCTAATAAAAACATTGCAATGGAGTAAAAAGTTTGTCAGTGACGTGTGTTTGATGACTGAGGCACGGACTTCATCACAATCAGATTTAATGCTATCAACAGGACATACAGAGGATTATTCACACATGGTCCGCATTGTTTGCTCAAACAAAACGCCAAAGTAGAAAGCACACTTTAAAGTGTGTTATGGTCTTACCTTATATGAACTCCATACACCACTTCATTCAGTTCAGACCAGTTTCATGTTTAAGTCCAGATAAAAGTTGAGTTTAGATATGTAATCCTCTGTTTACAATGTAGATTATGTAATCCTCCATTTGGAAATAAGATTCAAAAAGTAAAAAGAACAAATACGGGTGTCCCTCTTGTTTTGCTAGCTCTCGGGTGCGTCCAATTTGTTAAATCCACTTTCTTATCCTTTTACTTCAAATTCCACTAGAAAACCTCTTTGGAAGCTCTTCCTCTGCTGAGAGCAGCTACAGGTTTGGCTAACATACTTTACATGTAATACATGTTTAGATAGAAAATATGTAAAAGCCACGTATACCAATCATATGCTTCCAATGAGATAGGAATGATAAGAAAAGGATAATAAAGTGGATTTAACAAATTGATTGGTGCAAAACTTCCATAGGATTGTCATTCTACAATCAAATAGATGTAAACCAGCTATACCCTCCTATACATCCTTTATATTTACCATGGACAATAGAGGCAGACTTTTTTCTCTGTTCAGCGAATATTCCCACTTATCATTTTCAGAGGCCAAATCTACAGTACAGGGCCTCAGCTTCAGAAAGAGTCCAGTCCCATGTTTGTGCTCCATATGGCTTCTCAGACAGATTCTTTTTGAATTTCGACAAACACTAAATGACACGAATATTGAATAATGATTTTACCAGAATCATGCATGAAAATTCAGGGTTGAAAGAAACACAACTCTCTCAAAGTCAAACATTGTCACGTCAGGGCTGTTGCGGTGTCATGCAGCAGCTGTTGGTGGCCTTCAATTGCTACAATACAATGTTTGCTCAACTAAGAAACTATCGGCCAATATGATTAACTATACAACTAAAGGCTGGCAGCCCTAATGCAAATATAGTTAAAAAGTATTCTTACTCCTTTAGGCTTTCTCACATTTTGATATTTTTTATGAAAGAAAAGGTGAAATAAAAATGACACATGATTTTATGCTTTATTTTATTATAATAACCATTTCTCTGAGTGTAACCAATTTCCACCCGATGTTGTCTGTGCGGTCTTCATTTGACATTTCAGCAACTAACCATCAGACAAGTCTAATCTATAATTTTAGTACAATTACAAAAGTTATAAGGGTCTCAGAGGTGTGTGAAAATATTGGTCACTAAACAACATTGTTAATCCAAGCAACCCACCACCAAACATTTCCCCAAGCTTTGAACATCTCACTTAGAACTGTTCAATCCATCATCAAGGAATGGAAAGTGTAACTGCCTGCAAACATACCAAGACATGGACGTCCTCCTGAACTAACAGGCCAAACAGCACTGAAAAAATATGCACACAAGAGGAAGTGCTCTGGTCAGATATAAAATGTACTTTTTATGCAGGTTTAGCTATCGTCAGGACAATTTTCCCCTCAAAAGGTTTTTTTGCTGGATGGTTTAAAACAAAACATGTAAGATCAGCCTAGACCAGTCCTAAATCTACGCAAGAAACTGTGGGACTGTATGAAAACAAAACTGCTGCTCACAAACTCTTTCCATATACTGTGGCAAAGATAAAGCTGTTTTGCAAAGAACAGGAACTGCTGAGTCTGCACAAGTGTTTCGGATAATTCACTAGTAACTTTGTCACTAGTCACTTTACCTGTTATCAGTACTACTACAGTACTACATATCTGATATTTACTGTCATCAGGACTACTGTATTATTTCATATCTGATAATTCTGCCTTTCACCGTCACTTTACCTGTTGATATCTTACTGTATTATTCATATCCATCTGATAATTCTCCCATTCAAGTCACTTTACCTGTTGATATTATTTCTGATATTTATTCTGCTCATATTCTCATATTCTCCGCTGCTAATGTATAATATAGACATCTGTAAATACTTCGAACCAAGTGCAATTATGGCCCAGATTTTCTTATTTTATTTTATTTTATCTTAAATTTATTGTCTATTATCTTAAATAATAGACTTTGATGTGTGCAATCTGAGTGCTCTTATTTCCTTTCTCTGCTGTAATGTGCAACGATGACACTGAAATTTCTCCACTGTGAGACTAATAAAGGTTTATCTTATCTTATCTTAATCCATGCTACATAGATGTATCTCAAAAGACTTCAATTCATTTCCAAACCACACTTTTTAGAGTTTGAATTCACTTTCACTTTTCAGAATTCTCGGTTTTTAGAGCAATATATTGTTGAATTTATTTAGTGAAGTAAACTGTGTTTGCAGTTCATAACTACATATGAATACTTTTTCACCTACCATGCACAAAATGTAAACTTTTTGGTCAACAACAATTGCACTTTGTCGTTGTTGCACTGCAGTTACCTTGTTACACAATCCAATGTTAGTTTGTGAACAAAAAGGGAATTCCAGATGCTCCAGTTTCTCCTACCACTAAAAACGCACACAATAGGTAAAAATCCTCCAGCTCTGGTCCTGACCAAACTGATTACCAACATCTGGAGATGGGTTCTCAGGAGCTGTACCACAGCGACTAATGCTCCTGACAGAAGCCTGGGTCCATTTTTCCTTAGGGACAATAAAGTGCACATTTACATGTATATTTAAATTTACATCACCTCATGAAGCTCACCTCAAATGGCCACCAAATTGTATAGTTTCACTTCTGAGTTTTAGCCTTGCCCTCTCATGACTATAGATCAGCTTCATCGGTGAAAAAGAGAAACACTTCCACTCAACCAATCAGCAATCAGTAAAAGATCAAAGGTTTTATAATAAAAAGAAGACAGTGTGGTCTGTGGTCTGTTAGTCGTTCTGAAAACGCAACTGAAACATTATCTTTTGGGACTTTTTTTTTTTTTTTTTTACACATATTCATTTTTCAGCCTAAACTATACAAATAATAATAATAATCTCAGGGTAAATGTATATTATGGTCTCTGTTTATGAATTAAGCCAGATCGCTGCAGGTAATTATATCCATGGCTCTGCCTGCAGCCGACACGAGCGCATCGTTGGCCGCTCGTGTTGGCCCTGCCCCCCGCCTGTTGCCACCATAGACCCCACCAGTCTCTCTCTTTGAAGAAGGTCACGGAGGTTGACCCCAGAAATGTTCCTCTCACCTCCTCGCTCTGCCCAAGCCTATAGCCCAGCACCAGATGGGAAATGGAAGCAACCAGCGCGCAGGGCTACAGGCTGTTGCCCTGGTATATGGCTGAAGGAATGAAATATTCATGTGGCAAAAATGAATGGGCACCCAGGGATCACGAGCGTGCCGCTTTATCTCTCTGCACGTTGTTGTTGAGTGTACTGACCGGGAACTGCTCGACACGCTGATTTTCTTGTCCACTGCCTTCGATTGTCAAGCCTTAACATTAAACACAGACCGAGCACACGAGCTGGTGCCCCCATCCTCTGTAATAGACTGTCTAATGAGTGATTAGCCCGGCCTACAAAGACGCGAGGTGGCCAAACAGCATATGGGAGACGTGGTGGCTGCGCGCTCTGAGAGAGGGCTGCTGTGTGGGGCCAAGGGGACACCAGCTGAGAGGCACGGGGCCCACAGAGTATAGCACACTGATCTGAAGACTCAACAACCGCTTTTTAAGCAACAAGCAAAGGCATTAGGGATTTCTGAAGTATAGTGTGCCAATGACGTCCTGGTTTATGGTGCAGAAATTCGCTGATAGAATGCAGTGACAACTTATCACTTCTTTATTTAAATAGGTGTGTCATTGTCTTGCACTGCACCTGTCTTTTATTATTCTTCTTTAAATAGACTTAGGCCGATTGTCCAACTTATTTTATTTGATATAAATAGACTCATGTGCCAAAAAAACACATACACTGCAAAACGTCATGAAAAATAAGTAAAACATTTCTCAAATTTGGCAGAATGTATCTCAATTATAGAGCACATTGTGACTGCATTCAAATGAAATTTTCCAATGGGACAAGCCAAAATGATCATGTTTTAAAAATATGCAAGAAATGTCTCCCTTGGAATGAAACAATAAAGTCAGTTATTGAATTAAGACTAAATGGCTCGACCCATTGGCAAATCTTGCTTCTAGACAGTTAGAATGTAAAAAATAAGATTAAAAAAACAAGCAATTATTTTCCGTTTTGCAGTGTAGCTGTTAAAGTTTGTTATAATGACTATATCCATTACTTTTTTTCTGAGAACTGTTAAAAGTGACGCTCCTGAATGATTCATATGAGGAGCAACTGTTACAGAAACAATATCGTGATTGAATTACAAAGCTCAATGTATAAAGGCGCGGCTCTTTCTAATTGTTTTGTGACAAGAGATGGTGCGATTGGCCCCTGCCTCTTGAAGCTGTCAGGGAGCGAGGGGGGAGTCATCAAGGTGACACTGAGGGGGGAGGCCCGGGGTATAAATGGCAAGTGCACTGCCAACACATCACTACACGAGGATTGTTTTACTGTTTGACCTTTTGTGCAAACTCCTGCCCACTACACCGCGATGGCTGCTAAAGCTGAAGTTCTCAGCTGGACGGAGTTCCCGGAGGAGTTCAGTTTATTGCATCAGGCGCAGACTCTCCAGGCGCAGATAAACACTAAAGCGTGGATTGCTTCAAATTCCCTGCAAGTGTTTTCAAGAAGAGACAGTCCCAGCGAAACCACAGGGCTTTCTCTGGTGCCAAGACTTGCAGATCCCTCCAATGGAATCAACCAGGACAAAGCAGATGATGGGGCCAAGACGAGTTACTTTGGGCCTCAGAAACACAGACGGGTCGCAGCCAATGCACGGGAGCGCAGGAGGATGCACGGACTGAATAAAGCCTTTGACGAGCTGCGGAGCGTCATCCCCTCACTGGAGAACGAGAAGAAGCTGTCCAAGTATGACACGCTCCAAATGGCACAGATCTACATCACGGAGCTGTCCGAGCTGCTGGACGGAGTGGTGCGGCAGGATTGTGGGAGTACAGCAGAAAAGGCGCCCATGAGAAGTTTGCTTCAGGCTCTCCATCCTGCAGACTGTGGCCATGAGCCGCTGAGCCCGGAGCCGAGAGAGCACATCCGCAGCCTCGGGCCCCAGTCTGAAGGGGGCACCAGCTCCGCGCTCAGCAGTGATGGAGAGTCGTCCCTCCTCAGCGACCTGGAGGAGAGTCTACATCATGGGAGACAGTGACTTGCTGCTGCTATTGAAGCAAAAGGTGTGAGGAATTCTGCACGATCTCTTGCCACTGTTGACTCTGCTGAAATACAGGAAACATGAAGGCTCCCCAAGGCCTTCTCTCTTTGCACTTTACCTGGGCTAGAACTATGATAGGAATGATAGTCAGGTGCCTCAAAAATTAGATATTTATATTGTTTATTTTATTACAATGTTTTCTACAATAAATATATTTAAAAATAAAATTGTTCTCTGTGATTTTATTTAAAACACTATATCAAGAAAGTGAAAGCCAATGTCTGCTGAAGAAGGTTGTAGACTTCATAAGGTTTTATTTATGTTTATTTGTTCATCATTATCAATCGCATACATAACAGATGAGTGTCGTTGCTCCTGAAAGATTTTCTTCAAACCGGTGCATACAGCACTGTGCGAAGAGGTGGAAACTTCAAAAGCAGCATTGCAGCTAATTATGCATTATGCCTGTCATGCTTTTTTCATATACTGACTTGTTTGCATACCAGCCTACAGGGAATATGTGGGACTGCCTTCTCCTGGTGAGACTGGTGCCTGGAACCTTGCCAGGTCTTTAGAAATGATTTCAGCGAGACGATTTTTAAAACTAGCAGGGGCCTCTGATGGGGTAATTTGGCCAGTGGATCTGATGGCTTCTGTCTCTGCCACATGATCCATCACTGGTGTTTGAGTAGGAAAGAGGGGGTGCAAAGGCTCACTCTTTGCTTGCTGTAGACGGTACCGTGGTTTCGGAACAGGGTAGTCAGCAGGTTGCTCTTCCATGGTCACCGTAGATTGCCATGAAGATGTTTTGTGTTTGTCCACATGTGAATACAAGCTCTCTGAATCATCCGTAAATTGGTCATTCATTTGGTCTGACACAGATCTTGGCAGGTTGTAATAAGTGCTTTCCTCACTGACATAATATAAGTCTTGAGTCTCCAGGGAATGCCCAGGGTCATCCTCACCTCGCTCCTCTGCTGCTTCCCCGCTGGGACCACAATGAGCTGGGTCCACAGACAGCTGTCTCAAATAGTCCGTTAGATTGCAGTAGTAGTGGAGGGATCCGTCATCGGTGTGAGGAGAAAGCAGGTCTCGGGGGCATGATGGGTCAGCTGTGATGGGCGAATAGACAGTAGATTGGTCAAACCGTGCTTGGTTATTGTGCTGCTGTGAGGGACGTGTCTTTTTGGTGCACTGCTGGGATATTGTTTGAAAGATGTGCTTTGCTTGCTTGGATAAGAAGACAAACCTTCCGGCTCCTGACTCACAGCGTCGACCCGCTTCTATGCTGAATCCTCCCTGAGATCACAAAGAAAGAAATATGTAGAAATGTGTAAAAAATAATTGTTAAGTTATAGAACTGTAGTATGTCACACACACTGCTTTGCATTATGTTCAGTTTTGGCTAAATGCTAATTGCTGGTCAATACAAGATAATCTGCTCTCCTTTTCTATTCCTAATATACTGGATTACTGTTGTCAATCCTTTTGAATATTGTGATAGAGAGATGTCATGTTGGAATCATGTTTTGTGATGACACTTGTTTTTTTGTTTTTTGTTTCCTCACCCATGTATCCAGACTGTAAACATCACACAATACATTCAGACAAAAAAAAAATATAAAAATTATCTAAGCTGTTTTGTCATTATTATCAGTATTACCTTGGACTTGTGTATATGTTTGCATTTGTTTTTGTTGTTCTAAAATTTCACATATAAAATGAAAATAATAATACTAAATTTGGGGGCGAGAGTAGCTCAGTTGGTAGAGCATTGGCCTTAAGGCCAGAAGGTCGTTGGTTCAATTCCCACCTCTGCACCTTCTCCACCGACTCCCACTGATGACTGCTGTCGTTGTGTCCTTGGGCAAGACACTTAACCCCGATTTGCCCAAAGCTCCCGCTGAGAGATCAAGGCTATGCTCACTCTCAGAGAGCAGCCGTCCTCCTGTGGACTCACCACCTGCAGAGGGTCAGTGAGGGGCTGGTGCTATGAGACTTGGGTGGCATCTCTGACTGCCACCCCCCTGACCCAGAAATGGATTAAAGGGTAGAAAATGGATGGATGGATAATACTAAATTTGGTATGTTTTAGAGGGAGCGTCGGTTATGCACGCCCCCTGCTTCCTGAATGTATGTCGAGATCTCACCCCATTGGTTTAACTACTCTCCTCCAGGAAATGTCTGACCCTGTCAAGAGGAGGGATTATATAGCTATCAAATGAAATAACAAAAACATGTACATCTGTTTAAAATGCAATTAAAGTGACTGCATGAGATCATCTTTTTGTCTCTACATTTGAGAAAGTGCAAACCTGTGTTCTGCCACTAATTATACCTCGACTTGGCCATATTTACGGAGCATCTTGTAGGGCCAGTGGAAGATGACGTCATGGGTTTCGGGGTGGAGCAGCAGTAGAGCGTCCGCATCAGGTGAGATCAGGTAGTCCCCACTTAAGTTACACCTCTGCGATGCCTCTGTGAGACGCACACTCACTAAGTGGGCCTTTGGGGGTTCCAATGCATCTGTCAAATCAAACAGTGTTTAATTCCACAGTGTTTGATGTTGGTCAAAATAATCAATATCAATAATAACTCAAAGCTAAACTGTTGTAAATTGTGTGCTTAAAGGAGAAATATAATGCATTATTTTGACCACTGAAAAAAATAATGACATTATTCATGTTTTCAGTGCTAAAACTACTAGTAGAATGACATTTACAGTACTGAGACTGGCGCTTTTAGACAGAAAGGACAGACTTAAATTTTGCGCCAGACGTTCCTGATATTAGCATGGATGGATCTAAAGATATCTCCAGGTCTGTTTTAGACTAAAAGGAACAATGTTGTGACAGGGTTAAAAGCTCCAAAAAGTACATTACCACTTTCCCACGAAGAATACAAGTCATTATCCTCTAGGATCAGGCCATTTCCTCTATCGAAAGCCCCTTTGTCTGCGTCTTCGGGATCCTGCTGTAAACACAGTTGCATTGTAAACATAAGCTGGAGTGTACATCAGCCTCTTATCACACGTTTACGACTCTGAGAAACACAAGACATTTAGAGAAGTGGTAGACCTTTCGTTAACTTCCTCATTGTGCCACAGTATCTTTGTTTGCTCCCTCCAACCCCCCAAGTCAGGAGTGTCCAAACCTTTTAGATCAAGGCCATGTGCTGAAGTGCAGAGCAAGTGCAAGGCCAAGTGATTTAGCACAAGATAGTTAGAGAGCGCCAACAGATTCACACTTGCAAAAGGACAAAAAAAGCATACTTTTAGCTTATTCAAACTTTTAAAGGGGACAACAAGAAGGTTCAAATGGGAGGATCTGAGGCTGCACATGAGACCATGAGGCCTTAGCAGGTCAGAGAAGTATGATGCAAGGGTTTTTATAAACAAGTTGAAGGATTATGAAGTAAATCCAGCCTAAATTGGGAGCCAGTGAAGCTCCTTTAAAATAGATGTAATGCGAGCTCTTTTGTCCAGAACAAGTTGGGACGCGAGCAGCAGAATTTTGAATGAGACGGAGGCATTGGATTGATCAAAGGCTCTTACAACAGTCTAATCTACATGGAATATTTCAGCATGATGGTGAAAACAGGTCAGATTAGTTTCATGATGCCACTAGTGGTTGTTCTATATTTTTTAAACACAATTCCATGGGATAGTATGTATTATTTTAGTTTGAATTTGGATCTCTTTTAACAATTTTGAAGCAATTTTGGTTACAATTGGTTAAAAACGTTTGTCATTCTAACAATGCACAAGTCGGAGATTTTCCACTTGATGTTTGGGCTATCTGATGGACAAAGCTACTGGTGTCGTGGCGGGTGCTGATGGGTGTCGTGCGTTGTATAAATTCACATGCACGCAGCAAATCTTTGGTCTTGTCACTTAGCAACATAATAAAATGTCTTCTGTGCCTGTTCATGACCCCAGACCCTCGCCTCGTTTGTCATTCCCTTCATAAATTCACATCTACATCTTTCATATGTGTCCCCAGATAACAGGTTACATGAACAACAAATGGACATGATGTACACAATATGTGTGTATGTATGCAGGCAGATTATCCAATCAGAGAGCAGACTGGTTTTGGTTGCCAGTTTGTAAGGTGACATTTTGCTATCAACCCCCTCCCCTCCTCCTAAGCATCAGTAATCAGTGCTTATAGGAGCTACATTTGTCACAGGCAGGAAGATTCTGAAAACAAAAGTTAGATAACAATTGTATTTACTTTATAAGACCACTAATTGAGCATACTAGAGAAGACTGTCCCTTGTCTATGTAAAGTAAAATAAATAAATATATGAATCGAAATAAATTAGTGGAAAACCATTCTGTTATAATTCCTTATACATCTCTTAGTTGTGATTAATCAATTAACAATTTTGTACTGTATCCCCTTTATGATATGGCCAAGAAGTTTTTACAGAGGGCCACATTTTCCCCAAGGGCCATAGTTCGGACATGTTTGGATAGTGAAGGTGAAAAGAAGAGACCTGGAAAGCCAGAAGACAGAGGGCACTTATCCAGTCCTGGGTTGCCGGAGAAGCCAGGGTGTATGTCGTCGATGTGGTGTTCAAGTAAAATGATTCACAATCTGGGGGGCAGGACTCTTTGGGAGCCGCGGTGACGCTCAGGCAGTCTCTGAGGCGCACCACCTTTCTGGCTTTGTGACTTTTCTTCTGCTCGCACCCAGCTCCAGTGTTGTCGACCACAGTGTTCAGCTCCAGCCGGCCAACTCCCATAGAGCTGGCCTTGTAGAGGGACATCCATATTTTTCTCCAATTTTTCTGTTAAAAAGTTAAAAAAAATATTCAAGGTAAATTAAATTGTGAATTATTGTGATGTGGGGAATATTTACTGATGAACCAAAAATGGCTCTAATGTTATAATTGTTTGCAATTTTTTGTACCATGTGTTCTAACCATGCGATTCTAGTATGATGCCAATTTTTAAAGCCCATCAAGATGACTGCTATAGTGATTTGGGGCTCATACAAAATTAAGTTGAATTATACGGAAACCTGAAAAGTGAAAAAGAGAGGACCACCCTGACTCAGCCCAAAGAGTCTACAAGTGATTACTGTTTTTGTGCATAAGATGTTTTCTAACTAGACGGACAAGTTGAGGTCTAAATTATTCCCAAATTATTATTTTTTTTTACAAAACTCTTTTGGGACAAACTTAATGTTTACATGTGAAAAGAAAAGTTAGGTACCCCAGCTTTAAAGCCCTACTGTGAGTAGTGGGAAATGTGAGAAAAAAATTGAGTTGCAATAATTTAGCGAAAAAAAAAAAATCTTAAATTTGCAAAACAGAAATCAACAAATGCTTCTGTATAAATATAATCGAGAAGTTTCAATACCCCATATACTGAAGTTAGTGTTATGTTGGACACTTTACTTTGCGTTAACTTTAGGTTAACAAGAATGTGTTTAAAAACACATTTATTGAAAATTCTGTAATAACCACAGCAACAGTGGTAGTACTTATTTCAAACTTATGTTTCTTATAAAAGGGGAAACAAAACACCACAATACAAAATGTTATTTGAAAAGTGGCAGGACAAAGCAACATTTATTTGGCTTCAACAACTTCTCACTGATTTTGTATGAAATACGTTTGAAGTAGATACTACTAAACCAGCAGCAACAGCAACAAACAATGCCACTTACTTTTCCAAACTTGACAACTTGCAGGTAGAGAAGACCCTCTCTGAAGATAACCTCCATCTCTCTCAAGTGTCGTCTCTCTCAATGCAGTAGTATTTTATAGATTGACTTTTTATGTCTAGGTCATTTATAGAATTTCCTGTATTTGTGGTTGGTTACCAGTCACCCTCCAAAATGTGAAAAAAAGAACACTTCCCTTTGTATTTTACGTGATGTTTTTGTAACTTCCTTTAAGACCACAATGCACCACACCTATTGACTAAAATACATTTTCTGTTAACGAATTTATTTACATACAAGCACTGATGCATAACAAAAAAACAGGTTACTAGGTAGAAAACAAGAACCGCACCATCGGTTCTGACATTTAAAAGTAGATTATTTTTAGAAAGAGTTTCATTCTCAGTTCCTTTTATGAAAGAAACTTCTTTAAAAGTCCATTGAGCTGTGGGCCAAGTAATCCTTGCGACCGATGTTGGTGACTTGCTTGGTCTGCATGGCCTCCAGTTTGGGACAGTCTGTGATACGATGCCCCAGACCACCGCAGAATGTACAGCCCCTCTCTCCTGAAAAAAAAATATATATACACCATTATAAAATAGAGGAGATGATGAAAACTATATAAAGCCAAAGTTCCGTACCTCCAATGTCCAGCATTGTCTCGTCGCCCGTCTGCAACACCTGGAGCACCGGAGGAACCTTTTGTTTGGCTTCGACCAGAATAGCTTTCAGGTCCATCAGCACGGACTCGTCTGAGAAGCAGAAATATGTTCAAGATGTTCAAAGAAAAGAAAGAACTGTCTGTAATCTTAAAAACAATTCAGTGGTTTAAGTACAAAATAATTAGACCATAGTTGATATGGTTGCAACAGCAAACAGCTCAGGGTGAAACAAACAACAATTACAATTAAGGCCGCAAGCAGCGCTGAAAACCCTCGCCACTCTCCCTCCCGGGCGCCAGTCCCATAAGCATCATGGAGTATACTTGCTGATGAATTTGCAGCCTGATCAAACCAGGATTATGAACAAAGCTAATTTAAAGGATCCAGTGCACACCTAGTGGTCATTTGTGGGACATGCACCCTCTGCGTAATGTAATATTTTGCTTGTATGGATGCAAAGGATTGACCCCTGCCTCCCATACATGGCATCAATACTACGCATTGGAGAGGGCTAATTAATAATGGGTGCTACAGTTTGACAAGGTTGTATGTTGTTATAAATTATGAGTAATTGTATAAAATTTATTAAATCGAAGCAGAAAAAAATTAATAAAAATGTGTTATCTCCAACACACTTAAGCAGTGGGTCCTCGTTTGAGAACCACAAGCGGATATTAGTGTTTTACTTACCGCAACCTTTATTGATAAAAGTTGTAGCAACGCCTGTTTTTCCGGATCGCCCTGTTCTTCCAATTCTATGGACTAGTTAAAAAAGTGGATTCATAAATGATGTTTAATAATAAATAGTATTTCTATAGATGACAATGATTAACTGTTTACCATAGTTTTCAATCTCCTCAGGCATGTCATAGTTCACTACATGTTGTATTGCAGGGAAATCCAACCCCTTTGAGGCAACATCGGTCGCTACCAACACATCTTTTTTTCCTTCTTTAAATGCTTCTATGGCTTTGGTTCTCTCCTCCTGATCTGCAAAAAATTAAATAACTGTTAAAGTCCTATTTGAGTCAGGTAGCTCAGAGTAAATAGAAAAGCCTTGGTCTACCTTTGCCTCCATGAATTGCAACTGCTTCTACACCTTTCAGTAAAAGATACTCATGAATTGCATCAACATCAGCCTTCTTTTCAGCAAATATCAAAACCTGTGAATTCAATGTGAACATGATGGCCAAACCCATTTGAGTAATTAATTTTGAACGTCATAATCTATTACATACTGGTGGTGGCGTTTTCTGTAGACACTCCAGTAAATACACCATCTTGGCCTCTTCTTTGACATATTCCACTTCCTAGAAATGAATGTCCAAATATCTTACAATAGGAAGAGGCATAACAAAAGCATCAGCAGTGACGGTGATAATTCTGTACCTGAATGACATCCAAGCTGGCAGCACCTGCTCGGCCCACATTAATAGTTATTGGCTTGACAAGTGCACTCTTGGCAAAGTTTTGGATCTTCTTTGGCATAGTTGCACTAAATAGGAGGGTTTGTCTTTGTCCCTGAAATATACAAACATAGTAAATAATACAGCCAGCTTGACTGCGTATTGAATGTAAAAAGTGAATTATGTCTTCATGTTTAGGCATATAAGGTTCTTTGAATACGACAGAGTGTAAGAAGCTAGTACTGCTTAATTCCTTGACATGTTATGATGGTAGACTTCAGCCTCGTGAAGGTGTGACACGTCTCTTATCAGCTGTCGTTACTGGATATGGCCAGTCTGACAGATCAGGCATATCCCTCAGACTGACCAGGTCAGACATCGGGTCTTCTCTAGAGACCACCGCACAGCGGAGGGTGATAACAACAGCTAAGAGACACTTCACAACATCACCTCTAGAGAAGACAGAAGGCTACCAACGAAACATTACTTATTAAGCTATTACTAGTCATATTAAAATAACCTTATAAATGCTGCTTGACTGCACTAATGGGGATCCACAATAAACAAACAAACTAACCTTGAAATAAGAGAAGATTGTTCGAATGTCCTCCTCAAAGCCCATGTCGATCATCCTATCAGCCTCATCTAGAGCCAAATAACGACATATATCCAAGCTCACCATCTTCTTCTGCAGTAAATCCATGAGTCTGCCAGGAGTTGCCACCATCATATGAACACCACTACATTCACAAATAAACAGATTGCTCGAGAGAAGGTTGTCGTTACATCCAAACATTTATAAGTGCAAATTTCATGGTTCCTCACTGTTTTATTACTTCCATCTGTTCCTTCACAGACATGCCCCCAATGCAGAGGGCAGTGCGCATTGATGGAGCTCCTTCCTCTTCCAACAGCTTGCAGTAATATTCAATAATGCTATGGGTTTGCCTTGCCAACTCTCTCTGGAAAAAGAAATAAAGTTGGGGTTATATGTGGAAAAGCGATGGTGGATTTAGTCAAGTGGATTTGTCTTACGGATGGACAGATGATGAGCCCATACGGTCCTTCGCGCTTGAAGAAAGGTAGCCGTTTCTCCTGCTCCAGGGAAAACATGATGATCGGCAGAGTGAAGACCAAAGTCTTACCCGAACCAGTAAAAGCAATGCCAATCATGTCCCGACCAGAAAGACTAAAGCAGAGCAGTGTTAAAGTCATAAAACAATGCATGCATCATAGCAAAACTATGCACAACTTACACAGTAGGAATTCCTTGTATTTGGATAGGTGTTGGATGTATAATTCCTTTCTTTTTCAAGCCTTTAAGAACAGCTACATAGACACAAAATGACAGTTATTATAGCATAATTTAATCTATTTATAAACTTATAAGTCAATTGTACCTGGTGGAAATTTCATCTCCCTGAAGCTCTTGATTGGAGGTGGAATCCCATCGCCGTCAACAAGAATGTGAAACTTTTTTCTAACTCGCTCATGTCTTGTGTCTGGCATGTTCAGGATGTAACGGGGTCCCTTCCAACTGCATAGATGAGTCACATAAGTACAGATTTAAGAAAAAATGGCAGGCATCATGTCTGTCTCAGTTCAACATACCTAGTTTTAATAGGGTCGTCGTATATAATGCCTTTTGCCATTTCTTTCACGGACATCAAAGCTAGAAAAGACAGAACATAGGCTTTGATTGCTTCTCATCATTGAGTGTTTAGCCAGAACCAGTGTTGGGAAGAATATTTTGAAAATGTATTCAGTTCCAGAATACTGAATACATGACCTAAAATATATTTTGTATAGTATTCCGTTAGTTCGGAAAAAGTAGTATTTCCTGTATTACGACTACTTTAAATTATTGTTTTTGTATTATTTATATTTATTGTAAAAAACAAAGGAAGGTTGTTCACCCTGAAGTACAGATGATGGGTGAGCAACCTTCCTTTGTTTTGATTAATCCCTGTACAACTGAGAGCTGACAACAAATTTATATTTATTGTCAATTAATGTTATCTTACAAAATCTATAAAAAGGTACATTTCAAAATATTAAAAAAACCAGAACCTCGATAAATGTTTAAACAGATACAATTTCACGTTTTAATATTTAACAGAAAAAAATTGAATCTTCACTTTAAGAATACCCAAGGTTTTATTACCTTAAAACGTAATGTGAGAAAAAAGGTATTCCAGTAATTTTCAGAAAGTAACTAAACACTTTAAAGTGGTAACTGCAAGGGAATACAGTTACTCAGAAAACCTAATGGCATTACATGTATTCTGTTATTCTCCATTCTCCAACACTGGCCACAACCATTTGAGAAGAAATACCTCGGCCCTCTGCAACGCTTTCAAGAATCTTTTCTTCTTCTTTGAGTTGTTTCTCTTTGGCAGACTCCTTACGAGCTGTAGAAATATCCATAACAACATGAATGATACTTCATAGGCACAGAAAGCTTTTAAGGAAACTGTGAGCTAACACTGCACCTTCAGCCTTCTCCTTAAGGACTTGGTGCTGGTCCAGAAGACTAACATTTGACCGTGGACCAAGACCTTCTTCTTCATCCTTTTGTTCTTCTCCACTTTCTTTAAGGTCATCGTCCACAGCTTTCCCTCGAATTCTCTGCATTTTTTGGAGCTGAAATTAAACACACGAATAATCACAATTAATGATATTAAGTATATTATAATAAATCTTTATTTGTATAGCACTTTTCAAAAACAATGTTTATTAAGCGCTGCACAGTCAGCATAATAAACAATAAATCAGTCATAATATAAAGTAAAAACAATAAGATAGAATACAAGAAGACAAGACAAACAGGAAACACAAGAAGAAAGACAAAACAAAGACAAGACAGACAGTAAAATACGACATGAAGTTTTTAAAGCTGACAATTAAAAGCTGTTTGATAAAAGTGGGTTTTAAGAAGTGATTTAAAAGACGATACTGATGGTGCTAGCCTTTTCCCCTCGGACAGGTCGTTCTAAAGCCGAGGAGCAGGGACAGAGAAGGCTCGGTCACCTTTCGTCCGAAACTATCGAAATCAAAACATATTAAATGTTACGCATTAACGATAACCCACCATTTGTTGTTTTCGAATTTTGACAGGGACATATGGAACGTAGTCATCATCCTCGGAACCAGCGGAACCCATCTTCTCAGCTTCTCCCATAGGCCGCTGCAATAAACGTATGTTATTGTTAATATCAACCCTTTAACACATTGACACACATAATTTAAAAGAATAGACATCTTTACTCGAGTACCTGTTGTGAGGAATGAGACAAGGCTTGCTAGCTAAACACAAAGCTAACGCGATGTAAGAAAAACAAATGCATTCATTACCTTTTGAGAGCGACTTTCTGTTTCCATTGTGTTTGACTCGATATGATTCTTTATGGTTGTGTTTGGTGGAAATGTGTTTAATTCACTATTCCAGTGTAAAGATATCGTAACACATGTTTACATCAAGCTTGGTTCTCTACGGAAAGTCAACTGGATCAAATTTGGAGAAGCGAGAGCGCGCCTCTCCGTGTTGAGGATTGTAATGACAAGCCGAAACTATCGAAATCAAAACATAGTGGAAAATACCCGTAATGCAATAAATAACTCACATTAAGCACGCCACAGAATAAGAGTTTAACAACCATGCGGCTAGTATTCATGTGATTATAGAATATAACGCTACACCAGGCCAGGGCCACACGCTTTCACAATTAATAACATATTTCTGCATTTGATTATTCAGCAGATCATACATACATAGGTCTCAGATAGTCACGGCTATTATATTTTAAAAGTTCACAAAAGTCACATATAACATGTTAATTGTGTCGTCATTCGGTACTTATTCTGTGTCCACTTAATCGTGAGGCTACATCCTGTCAGACTAAATACCGAAACGAAACCAGGAAGAAGTTATAACGTTTATATGTGTGCCATATCATCGCACAGTTTTGTTTATGAAAGGAACCGTGACTCTTGGCGACGGGTTGTGCTCTACACTAATAGTTACCACAAAGCTGGCAGCCACCATTGTGTTTGTTTGAATTTTCATTGGATTCAAACCTCCTAACTGGGAGTTATGGGGATGTTCACACTTTATTTTATAGTGACAGTTGTCACACATTCCAAGCGTTTCTTCTTAATCCCCACGACCCAAACCCATGGATCTATTACAATATATCACTTATATCAGAGCTGAAGAGCAGCAACGTGTGCCTGCTTTACGTCCGGATGAGGCAGCGGCACACGGCACGTCCAATTTACAGTCTATGGTCCAAACATCGCTTTCGGGTCTATTGCGACCCTCTGCTTTGCCAACATCATAAACACATTTCAGTATCATACAGCCAACCTCAGCTCAGCCAATACAGGCATGCTGTACCTCATTGTAAATGTGTCAGTATACAAGCCTGGTTAACTGAAGTGGCCCTCTTAAAGGTTTGGACTCCCTTGGGATATGCACATAATAATAATAATAATGCATCGGTTTTATATAGCGCTTTTCTGGACACTCAAAGACGCTTCACATGTGTCATTATTCATTCACTCCATACACGGTGGTGATAAACTACTGCTGTAGCCACAGCTGCCCTGGGGCACACTGACAGAAGCGAGGCAACCAGTATGCGCCATCGGCCCCTCCGACCACCACCAACCATTCATACACACACCAGACTCATTCTAGGCAATGGGGGTGAAGTGTCTTGCCTAAGGACACAACGGCAGTTTGGCACTTTACAGCCGCAGCCGCCCCACTGTGGCTGGTGTTCCCAGAGGTTAAGTGTCTTGCCAAGGACACAACGACAGTAGTCAGTGGGAGTCGATGGTGAAAGTCTTGAGCGGGGCTTGAACCCACGACCTTCTGGCTCAAAGGCCAAAGCTCTACCAACTGAGCTACTGCCGCCCTGCCACATGAATCTCTTGAATACGTGGGTGGCATTTACTGCAGTGTTATTTACTCATATTCAAGCTTTGATTTTGTTCCATGTAATCCAATTCAAATTAAAAACCAAAATACAAAAGAATGAGCTGGTGGATAAATAAGGAATAATAACAAGCATTTTGACACTTAGGCCTAAGTCTTTTCAAAGTTGAAATTAGTATAAAAACATTTTATTGTCTACCCAGACAAATCAAAAGGGCAGAAAGTACCAATGCACAATGTATTGAATAATTAACAATAGAATTAAAGCACCAAACCTTGCTGATTGGAATTCATAAGTTTAACAATTCTAACATGTTGTGATAAAAAACATTTTATTTCATGTAAGTTATTTGTTTACATACTACATATGTAAGCACATGGATGCAGAGGATTTAACAGACGTTCCTTTTTGCATCTATTAATGAAGATTGCAAGTAATAGCAAAGGGTTACAGTTGGCCATGATCTCTGCAGCCCACTTCAGTTTGTGAATCGTTTATGATGTCGAGCCTGGATGCCTTGGCTTTAGTAAGAAACATAAGAAACCAGGGAATGAGAAAAGGCCTCAGGCCATACAGCACTGTTCTGAGAGTTCATGGCGTCATACGGCTTCATCTGGGACACCACTCATTGAGCTGCGTTGGAAGTACCCTTTTTCAGGCTGAAGTTGGACCAATTCACTGCTACCTTCTGTCGGGTTTGTTTAGCAGAGTCAAGGCAAAACCTAGAAAGAACACATGTCAACATAAAACAGTGAGTAAACAATTATGTGGGGATCTTTCTGCACATAGATAAGAATGTACAAATATTGGAAATAAGATGTTAAATGTAAGATACATTACAATAGGCAGTGAATTACAATGCTGTGTCACAAGTGAACATTGAAATACAAACCTTTACTGTACAGTAATTTCCGGATACTCAGCATTAATTTGATACTAAAGTGTAAAATCACATTGTATATACACATACACACCATAAGGTCTTTCCTGATCAAAATGTAAAGTTGATTCTTTCTTTACACTGTACAGGATGCAACATTGAGTATGTTGACATTATTTCAAAAGATTGTTCAATTGAAAAGCTGAATGAGACTTAATTGGGTTGCCTACATGTTTAATCATCACATGTGTCTACATGCAGTAAAAAACATGGGCAACAAATGGTTTAGATGTTTTTTTTTTTCATTTACCCAAGCCCCGGTGATCCAAGATGGCGCCCTATGAAAATCAATGGCTTGTGCTCAGTAGCACATGGGACAGCTATGGGGACCGAAAGATTAGCAGAACTCGCCTATATTTGGGCATTGTCTGGCCCTCCAGGTTCTGCACAGTGGACGAGCTCCCAGGATGCTTTGCGCCAAATACGCGCATGTGGCTCTCATGCAAATGCAAGGAAGGGCTCGGCCATGTGTTGACCAGAGCGGCGCATGGATCTATAATATCTGGATAGGGTATTACTAGCTTAGAGCTGAAGGACCTACGTGCTCGGGGCTTCCCGTGGTACTGCCATGGATCTATAATAATAACTGGATAGGGTATTACTAGCTTACAGCTGTCCCACCCATGGGCACAGGGGGCGCCCGTGGTACTGCAGACTAAATTCACGAGGGCTACCCAAAAGTCCCATAGAACTCAATGTAATCTAAAACAGCTCGACTTCAGCTGACAGAGAACATACAGCTTTCGTAAATATTTTGGATTTGGTGGGGATTTTAGTGTCTCTTGTCATCCTGAACTTTTTTTCTTCTCAAATCCTTCGATTTTCTTAAAATCCACTCTTTACTGCCACAAACTCTGCTCCTTTCCTTCCTGCTCTCACTCCGCTCTACCACTGCTCTGATCAGCAGCACTGATTGGTCTGTGCGCGCGCATGAGAGGCACACACGCGTATTTGGCGCAACGCATCATGGGAGATAATCCACTGCGCAGAACCAGGAGGACCAGACGATGCCCAAATATAGGCGGGTCCCATGCGCTACTGAGCACAAGCCATTCATTTGAATAGGGCGCCATCTTGGATCACCGGGGCTTGGGTACTGCAGACTAAACAAGAATGAATTCATATTGGCTACCTTGAAATTTTCCTAATAGTACTAAATCTAAATTTAAACAGATTTTGTGGGGATTTTAGAGAACCGGGAAGACCAGGGAAATCTGCTAATCTTTCAGTGCCCATGACGGCACATGCAGCAAAGTTTGTTGCATTAAAGTGTAGATTTGTACACTTGTGTTTGTTTTGTGAAAAACGGTTCAGGAAGACAAGGGACACTAAAATTCCCACAAAATCCGACCTTTACAAAAGTTGTACGTTCTCTGTCAGCTGAGGCTGTTTTAGTTTAGATTGAGTTCTATGGGAAACATTTCTGGGTAGCCAATGTGAATTTAGTCTGCAGTACCGCAGGCCTGTGTCCATTGGTGGGACAGCTATAAAAGGTAGTAATACCCTATCCAAATTTTATAAAAGATCCATGCATATAAAATAGTAAGACCAAAAACTAAAATAATCATCTACCTTTTAAAGTATTCCACTTCTCGGTCAATTTCATCCATTTCTGTTGGATCCACATCTTTAGGTAGAAATACATCATCTACAACAAAAATAAAACAATGTTGGTGTAAGGCCCACAAAATACTGTTATTTGATATATAAAAATAGCCATACCGAGTGTAGTGCTGGACTTTTCCCCTTTGTTCTTGTTCTTTTTATTTTTCCCCTTGGCCTGCTGTTGATGTCCATTTGCTTGAATATTAGAATGGGCTTTGCTCTCAGAGGTCTGTTCAGGCCGTCCGGATTCTGCGTCCCCTTTTCCCTTTTGTACATTGGACATACCATGGGTTCCATTTGTGGTATTTCTTGGTGCTTTGTTCTCCTCAGTTTTCTTGGGTCCATTTCTCTGGTGGTCTGTAGATTGTTGAAGATGTTTGCTCACATTTTTGGAGCCATTGGACATCACTTCGGATCCTTTGCATTCATTGGTTTTACATGTTTCATTTGCAGAGACTGCTTTGGTGGTTTTATTCAAATTTTGTTCCGACATGTGCTGATCCTGTTTTTGCTGCTTTTTATTTTTCTTAGACTTTGGGCCACCATTAATAGATCCCGTATTCTTAAGATCAAGTGCATCCTCTTTTACTTTAGTCATTCCTTGAACTGGCAAATTGTGAGAGTTTTCCATTTCAGTTGAAGTGCATTTTTCAGGGGAGTGAACCCTTATGAGCTTGGAGAGAGTAGGTGTAGTATGCAACCTCTGGATGTCCTTGGTGCCAGCACAAGCAGTGACACTTGGAGTTGTGGTGGTAGTATTACAGGATGACACAGCAGTTCCACCCTCTTCCCATCCATTCACCAGGTCCAAATGACTTTTGAAGGATCCCAGAGAAAGAGGCGCAAGGTCCAGATCAATCTGCTCCAGGTCTGATGACCCATTCAAATGGGAAAGTAAATGGTTGCTTTCCAACGTAGCTGCCTTTTTAGGAAAGTCATTGACATCTAGATTGAGATCGTACATGCTAAAAGAGGCCCGAATTGAGTCTTTTATTGTATTCTTGATCTCTTCAAGTCGACTAGTAAGGAAACTGTTGACACGCTCAAGTTCAAGCTGGGGCCAGTCAAGCAGCCGACCAGCCTCAGAGCCATCAGCAACATGCTCCTCAGTAGGCTCAGGTGGATTGGATTGGGGGTCACTGCCTGCAGCATCTGCACTACCCTGCTGAGCTTTTTCCTTAAAGAAAAGACATACAGATGTTAGACTTGTAAGAGTAGGGATATTAGATATAGTATTGTTCCTTAAATGTTATACCTTTTTCTTTTGTTTGTGTCGTGCCCGTTTAGCTGCTTTGGCACTGTTGACAGGTTTGGGCTCAGAACTGTTTATAAAGTCAAGAAGTTCATCGACATCTCGATTATCTATGGCACCAGTTGCTGTTAGTTCTGAGTCTTGACGTTGAGGAATCTCCTCTTTACGCCGCGTCAGACGGGAACGGAGTTTCTCTCTGATTTCTGCATAGTTACGGCTTGTTGGTGCAGCAGGAGGCTGTAAGAGAAACATAGACCTTTAAAATCTCTCTACAGGGACTGCATGAATAAGAAACTATCTTAATAGGATATAATCCGTACCGCATTGTGTCCAAAAAACTCGCAGTAGCAGCAATCACAGTACTTCCCATCTTTCTGGTTGGTGGAAGATGAAGCACAAGAGCTCCTCTCAGAGCTACTATCCTCATCTTCCCCTTCCTCCAGTTCAGACGATGGATAGCACAAAGTCCCATTTGTCAGTTTATGACCCTTACATGCCTGGTCCCTAAAATAAACACAATTTTCAATGACAGATTACTTAAATTACTAATTATAGTACTCCTTTGTTATTTTTTGTACTTTACTAACCTGCATGCCCCAGCTGTTAGATGGCCCACATTAGATGTTCCTGCTGTTCCCCCACTGTGTCCATTACAAGCATGACTACAACCTAACATTGCTGGCCCATGTTTACTGTGTTGTGTGTTCATAGCAGGAATGTGGGAGTTCTTACATGGGCTTGGTTTATGAACCACTGTTGGACTATCTGGACTAGGTGAATTAAGTTTAGCTGGAGGCCCATGAAGATTTGGTACTAAAGGTGAGAACGGAGCATGTGGTCCTACACTAGTGCCAGAGGTGGAAGTCACATGCCCATGCTGCCCAGATGTTGGCTTTGAAGCTAGGAGTGATGAATGCTGCGATGATAAGCCTGTAGGACTATTGGGTGGAACTGACAAGTCTGTGTGTTGGTGGTGGTCATTGGAGTGAAAGGCTTCACCTACAGACGACGGTGCAAAAACATGGATAACACATCAAATTAGGAATCAATGAGTACATATTACAGCTATTTAATTTTGACAATAACTAGTCCAAGATATGTTTTTACCTGGTGGGGTTGGTCGACGGCACATGGTTTTGAAGTGCTTGGGAGTGGTTTTACAATGGTCTGCTGAGGTAGACAAAGAGTTCCCAGCAGAGGACCCACTGGAATTCTGGGACGATGGATGACTGTAGGGACAAACTTTACTCCCTGACACTTTAGCAGACTTCCCAGGAGCTTCATGTAGCCCTCTTTTTTCATGACACGAAGAACCTGTCGTTACCCCTGGACCTGACAGAAAGAAAACAAAAAAATAATAGGGATGCACAGATACTGACACTGGTATCGAGCATCGGGTCGATACTATAGGCTTGTACTCGTACTCGTACCATAGGACCTGATCCGGGCAACTAAAACCCACATTTTTAATATACATTAGCGTCATGACAGCAAACAGCTGTGCTGCATATATTTCCATGGTGATCTCCTAAAGTCAGCAGCGAGAAAGCATGATGTCGGCTGTATAGCAGTTTTATTAAGTTAACGAGTGACAAGAGTAAAGCGCACTGTATGTTGTGTAAGGCAAAAATGTCACGACGTGGGTCCAAAACAAACACGTATAACACCAACAACTTGATCAAACATCTGAAAACTAGTATAGGAGCAAAGTATAGCACCATTGCTAGCACCGGAGCGAGCACCGGAGCACAAAATATGACAGTGTCTCTTGTAGTTGACCTTTATAACAATTGCAAATTTTTTTTGCATTTTCTTACAGTTGAAATGAGAAATAAAACATCGGTATTCGGTATCGGCAAGTACCAAAATTAAGGTACTCGTATCGGTCTTGAAATAAGTGGCATCAGTGTATCTGCATCCCTAACAAATAATAATGTGTGTAATAATGTTTTTTTCCAAATAAAAACTTGATATTTGTGGATATGCATGGCAGATTACAGCAGGAATTGAGCAGACAATGTGGCAGTAAAACGCTAAAGTTGGATGTCGGTTGCTACCCCCCGTTCATACGAAGACTGTGTTCCAGGGAGGTGAAAACGTAAGAGTTAAGATCCAGCCTGCAGAGTGGTCACAGCTCAGACACGCTGCTCAACGGGGGCTCTCTTTCACACGAAAGGTGTAAATTCTTTGCCTGAGCTGACCCCCACCTCCCCGCTGCTCCCCACACGTAAATTTGGACATGCACAGTAGCCGAGAACAAACGTAAACAATGATGGCAGCAGGTACACTAACTAGCTACATGTGCTTCGAGCGCTACACAGGGTATAATTCTACTCCTTCGTGTTCGTTCGTCCAAACAAGACCTTGCAAAGCTCTAGTTTGTTTCCATTTTCACAGCTGCTGTTAAATGCAGAATGATGTTGGTGCATTATTTGACGTCTTGCAGGGGAAGTGAGTATACTGCTGGGGGTCGCGTGTGTCGTGTTGTAAAGTTCCTCTGCCCACTACTGTCCGGCCACTAGAACTACATCGTTTTTGATACTGGTGTGTACGCTGTGAAATTTGCATAAGGAGCCCGGTTAATAGCTTGGCAACTTATGCGCAGCGCCTCCATCTAAACTGGGCCTCAGTTAAGTCACAATGTGTTGGAACAACGTAAAAGATAAAGACAGGATCTCAGAGGGCACCTGTTTTTAAGTACTACTTATAATCCAGTGAACACTCCTAGCTATTTATATTTGTTAATGGAATAAACAGACTTCAGTTGTCATGACTTTATTCTGCAATCAATAGTTTTTTCTTATCAATTATTTCTAGCTTGACAGAGTATCCCAATTTACACCTGTTATAATAAACACCATTATATTTTTCTGCCACATACCTTGTTGTGAGTGCTGAGAACTGCCATGGTTGCAGAGATCCCCCCCATTGCTGTGAGCAGAGTTCCAAAGTCCTGAAAGTTTGTGGGCTGACAGAAATGAACTGGGGTCCCAATCCACAGTACTTTGCTCTGTGTAGCCATTTCCACAGCTCTGGGACTTACATGAAGGTGAGTGAGACAATGGCACCTGTTCATAACAACATTAACATGTTTTAAATCTCAAGTACTTTATATTTCATAAAACATTTATATATTAGATGTATATTTACAGATGCAGGCTGCTCCTGGGTGCTCCGCCTTTCTTCCTCTTCAACACTTTTGCAACAACTCTGACAGATCCACAGAGGCACCTCTCCCAACAGGGACTGCGACAGCGAGGGAACAGCATCAGCAAGCTTTCGCCCTGATGCTTCACGTAATAACGCTTGGGACAAGGCGGGGACAGCATCGGCCAGCTTTGTCCCATGGTTTCCAGGAAGCCCATTAACAGAAGTCGCTCCCCAATCTTTGAACTCACGATGACACAGAAGGCAACAGGTATGCATCGGTTCCTGAAAAAAAAAAACAGCAATTCATATAAGTGCAGTTAAATAAAAATTGAATATATATTGTACAATACATTTCCTTTTGACAATGCACAATAGCCCGTCATTAATTAAGACCAAGATTTGGCCAGCAATAACTGCATCATCCTTGTAAACAAAGCAGTCATATTGTATGAGCATGACTAAAAAATAAAAAATAAATAACTTGAAAGGCCCACATGTTTGCAGTGGTGAAACACAATTTCTACAGTACTTCTAAAATCTTAGTTAAAGGCAAATAAACATGTAGTTTACGTTTTTAGTATACACGAGAGAATATATGTTTAATCAATATTGACTTCAGTGGTTTCACTTATACAAAGTAGGGCCTTGTATGATACTGTACGTCAGAAACAGACAGTGCCCTTACGTTAGCTGGTTACAAGGGATCCACAAGTTCAGTATGCCCTCTCCAAACTGGGCTAACGCCAACTATGGTCATAATAGCAAACATTAACGCCGCTTTTTTGATCCTGGGGCGCTCTGGTCAATTTTGACTTGTACAGTAATACACAATAGAAGCTACTGAAATCCAAATAGTAAAGAATCGTGAGACATGCTAAGCTAGGTAATAGTGCGATAGCTACAATATCATTACGAGCATCCGCTGTAGTAATGTATCACTTCACCCATTGATTGTTACGTAAACACAACAAGGTGATATCATTAACAATAGATACAAATGCAGTCAAATCAAATGGTGGTGTCAATTAACTACACCGTCAAAACAGACGGAAATAGGCAGGTTCACTCCATGCCACTGGTAGGAGTCCGGGTAGGCTAACGCGAATCGCTAAACCTGCGAGAACCCAATGCTAACTGCTGTGTGGCTAAACGTAAACACCAGTTTGTGCAGGTAACTACATTGTTAGTACTGCCGTGATCAAAAACATATAATCTTAACTTGCGTGATTTAGCTAAAGCCATCTTAGACATGTGTTTGCTAAGTTGAAGATTGATCTGATTGTGAAGCACATTTCATCGATGCGTTCAGACAACCTTTACTATAATGACTATCGTCGTCTCGGCTTTCTTCTTTAGGGTGGTATTGAAATGTAGTATCTGGTTAGCCACATGCTAGTGATAAGCCAGCGAGCCTGTGGGTGCAATCTGCTAGCTACCTGGATCTCCCTGGTGGAAGGCAGCCGATCCAGCCCTGCATCTCCAGCGCCACCGCCAGCTGCATCGCCGGGAGAGACTGTGCTCTTCGATACGCTCTGCTTTCCCGGGACGATCTCCTTCTGGGTAACCCCCTGCTGCTTGCTTTTCTTCCTTGCCATTGCGATGGTGTTTAGAAAAGGCTTTAGCGAAGTTTGCACCAGTTTAAATGATTTTAAAACCACACTTTCGGTTCTTCTCGGACCTCAGAATGTTCTCTATCTCCTCCAGTCAAGACAACAGTCAATATGGCGGAGGACTGGCACATTCAGGAGTTCATAGGTTAAAGATAGTACTGGCATAACGGCTTCACTGCTCTATGTGCTGCTGCGCTAATGCAGCGCCAACACAGCGAGGCACTGCGACGCCATATTTAGTGAGGGCAACATAAGAATCACTTTTCATTTGTCAAATAATGAAGGGCAAGGAGAAAATCTTGAAATTATATAGGGTTGTAATGACGGCCAAAAATAAAGTTATACAATCCCTTACAGAAATAAGCGTATTCTGAACATTTTGATTAGAATATCTATCAATAAGGAATTGGGATAGAGGAAAAAAACGTGGGAAGAACATAGATTTTAAATATATTTAAATTCTAACACACCCCTAACAAATTCTGGTCGCATGGATTGTGTTCTCAGAAGGTAATTGAAATCATGATGATGTCTTTTGAATTCAGGTTTATTATCATTTTTGCTATTATTGTTTTTCTTTTTGTTTGTGATGATGTTTGTTTTGTTTCATCAACACATATTAAACTAAAGAACATCAACAGTGTCTGAAAGTGTCTCATAAACCGCCATAGAAATAGAACTATACAACATTCTTCAGGTATTTTATTTTTTTAGAATACCAAGGACTGTCACCACAGTAATTATCTTTTGCATGGGAATTAAACAAGAAGATAAAATCCACAAATTGTCATCCAAAAGGAAAATTATGCTTTTGTCTTTGTATTTTTTATTTTTTTAAATCTTTTTATCATTGTAAATAAGAGGAAAACATTATTTTTGTAGTTATATATCAATGCATGTATGTGTATATGTGGCAAACATTTGTGAAGGAAATATCAGTTTTACAGATAACATACCGCACTTTGGTGTGATTGTAGTTCCTTGTCTAACCAGTAGAACGACAGTCTCTGAGTAGAACCCAGAATGGGTTTCTGTGATGGGAGGGGCGCAGGGAGGGTGAGGCAATTACGTACATCAGATGCTTTCATGGACGTTGGACTAAATCAATCAAAAAAGAAAAGTACACATGATTGCTATATGTACATATGCCTACATATATATTTATACATCATACATCAAAATACGTCCCCAACATTTAATTTTAATATGTTTAAGTAAAACACAAACATATTTTCCATAAACTGTACGTCTCACAGCAAGAATTGGGTATTATGAGATTTTGGGTAAATGTATCTTTTTTCACCATCACTAGTATTCCTCCTCTGCAGCACCATTATTTCTTGCATGTGACTTACGTATAAGTTTTGTATGTCTGGCCTTGGGGACACAAAACCTCCAGACGCAAGTATTCAAATAAGTGAACTAAAATACAAATGAAGGATTTGTTTACAACATACAACACGAGCTTTTCTCTTCAGTCCCGTGATGAAACAAGCTGTTGTTTGTGGTGCATTTGAACGCGTCATGAGTGTTGGGGTTCAGACGTTCAGACTGAAGACGTAGCCCAGAGAGGGAGAGGAGCTTGATCTGCTTAGCGCGATTGACACAACAGAGGCTTGTTGTTGTTGTTGATCCTGCGTCTTCTATCCACATTTCATCAAATAAACATGGACGGAAACCTTTGCAACATCCAGGTGCTGCTTCGGGCTGCAGAGTTTTTGGAGAGAAGAGAGAGAGGTGAGTGTCACACGAAGAGGAAGTTGCTTATTGTTAAACAACAACATGCACTATTAAAGAGATCTGTTTCTATTATTATTTACAGCATACTTGCACCGTCGAATCATGTGCACATCGATGTATAGAAACATGCACATTAGGAGCATTTTACGAGTGATTTTCCCAGCCTGACTCAGTGACCTACATATCGCCCTCATCATTGTACTCAAAGGCGCCAATCTGACACAATTTGAAAAGTGAGCGGCATGAATGAACGTGTGCCTTCAGCCTACAGGGCTAGAAAACGTATCACAGCTTTTATACGGAAGTTTGTTTAGCATTTCGGTTTCAGGACTTGGATAACATTGCTTTTTATCTCTAAACGGATTGTGCTGGGATGGCGCCAAAACAAAACACTCAGCTGACCGGCTCCTGTTCACTGCTGCTACTAAAGGCTACATTGTTAATTATAACTACATTGTAAACAATCAAATGTATCGCTGCACTTCCTTTACAGCACTATGTTGTTCTTACGGTGTTATGCAGCTGTGATATAGTGTCTCTTTGTCCTGCAGAAGCAGAACATGGCTATGCTTCAGTCCTGCCCGTCAGCCCAGGTCTCTCTGATAAGAGAAGCAAACAGAAGAACAAAAAGATATCTGCTGGTGGTAATAGGTAAGTTCATAACATGTTTGCTTGACTACGGCTGGGAGGGTGCAGCAATAAACTCTAAATCTAGTCTTTCCTGTATTAACAATAACTATCATCTGCAGGTCGGTTCATAACGAACTGGAAAAGAACAGGTAAAGATATTGGTAGACTTTATTTATGGTTTATAAGAATGCTTGACAAAGAATAAACAAATCTTCTCGTATCCTGTCTTGTAGACGAGCTCAGCTAAGATATTTTTTAGAGGAGCTAAAAAAGGAAGTTCCATTCTCCACTGATTCAGTGAGGAACACCACCTTAAATCTCCTGAGGCGGGCACAGAACCATATAAAGGTAAATATTTATTGGATTCTTAAATTTTTTATGTCCTTTCCTGTGTTTTTAATGTTTCCTTTTCAATGTTGCGTCTCCAGAAGTTGCAGGAGCAGGATGAGCGGGCTGAGCAGCTGAAAGGCCGTTTGCGCTGGCAGCAACGGGAGCTGAGGATTCGACTGGAGCAGCTTCAGCGGACCGAGAGAATGAGGAATGACAGCCAGGGTTCCACCATGTCCTCAGAACGGTCCGACTCCGACAGAGGTATGACTTTTTGTCCACATTTGCTCATCTTTAAACAACTGTATTCTCATCTCTCTGTGACATTGCAGAGGATGTGGAAGTTGACGTGGAAAGTATTGTGTTTGATTGTGTGGACTCTGAAGAACTGCACATACCGCACAATGACGCAGACCATTGTTACTCAAGCTTGGACAAGGCTTGGCTATGACAGACGCTCACAACATGGTACCTCTTTTTTTAATACCGGACGGGATGGCGAAAAGAAAACATTCCAAAAAAAAGCAAAAGTTACTGTACAAGCTTGCATTGAACACTCCTGTCCTTTTACACTTTTGTGACAACAAGCTTAATGTTGGTTATTATGAATGAACTGGTTCCATTTGCTCTAAAAACATGGATTCCTAAAAGGATTCCAACCTCACCACCAACAGTGTATTACATAGCATTAATTTGCCACAAAGTGTTTCAGGCCTGAATCAACTCTACAAGGGCTTAATTCATCCTAATCTTAACTTATTCTTTTTCATATTGTTCTGCCTTAACTAGGGAAAGTATTTTGTTTTGCTTCAGCAGTAAATTCATATGACAGTCTTGTGTAGCATGCACTTAAAACCTATTTTTATATGATTTTCATGATGTATGTTCTGACCTCTTCTGTTGCACAAACAATACCGTATGCACTTCTTCTCAGTGAATTCATGGTCACACCGCTGCAAATACTGAATGACCAAATACTGATTATTTGGTGTGATTGCAAACTGTTCTTTACAGCTAATTTGAAGATCAATTATGCATGTTACCATTTTCTCTTGTCAGCACTTGGTTAAGAATACGCAGTATGTGCTTTTACATGTTATTCATTGCTTTTATTTAATTTCTCAAGGCACTGTTTGCCTTTTTTAAACTTTTTATGCAAGATGCCTTATTTACTATGTATGTACATGCCTTCATTTGTCTCTTCACCCAGTAATTTTATGTAGCAAATTTTGTACTGGTGTAAGCTTTTTATGAGTAAATATTTTCTATATTTATGGGTTCTGTGGTTATGTTCTGTTTTGAAGCAGTAAGTACCAAACCTTTTCATATATTTTTGTCCTAATAGTCATATAAAAGGTATAACGTGAACAAATGAGACAACATATTTCTAAATGCATGCATGTGAAACTGAATGAGTTAGATGGGTTTTAATAGTTTAAAGATTAGATACTCCTTTTAATTTTCCTCCTGGCCTATCGTCATTGAAAAGAAAACACATCTTAAAATATAAAATCTTTTATTGATAAGCATATATTTATATTGCGGATCAAGTATAAAATACACATTTATTCTACTTTTTCAGAATAATCTCCTTCTGAAGCCGTTTGAGGATCTAACAAGCCCTTTGTTCCATGAGTAAACGTTTAGTCTTGCGTTTATAATTACTTCTTGATTCATCAGAGAAACTAGAGAATGAAAATATAATGGACCGCAAATCAACTCTTTTTTCACATTATTTTCTTGAGTACTAGAACACAAAGACCTTTTGAAGAAATTAGGCCCAGTAAAAGCTGAAATTAAGCAACATTTGAGTAACCTTGAGTAAACAAAATCATAAATATTTTGGTATAAGTTTTGTGTGTCAACAACTCATGGCATAAGTCTATACAGTCATTAGTTTTTCAATCAATAGATCCAGTCAACAGTTGACTCCCGTATTCCCTCTGCATAACTGTCGAGACAATCAAGGCGAGTTTAATGGAGGCAAAGGTTTAAGGACTATAATTATATGACTTTATAGGACCCAGAGTTGCCTTCCACAGTCCCACACAGAGATCCTTATCGCCGGTAAATACTGAGATGATTTAGTATGTGTGTACCAGCCACGAACAGCTCAGGCCTTTGATGGCTGTGTGCACAGCTCCCACTAGCGACTCGTGTTGTCACAATACCAGGATTACAAACTATTCTTGTGGGATCAACATTGCTATAATCTAAAAAGAATATGTATGTATGTACAATTATAGTATAATGGGGTAATGTTTTTATACTAGTTCTGGTTTAGAACAAAATCATTCAAAACTGACAAAACAGAATGTGTTATTCTGTTTGTGATCTATACTTTTGTGATGTGTCTATACTTTTTGGCAACCCAACTAGTGACGTTTAAGTTTGTTGATAATCACTGTATATTGACACAGCTGAGGGTCACAGCAGTGCTCTATACAGCCATTTCTTACACATTACTCAGTCTCGCAACTTGAAATGTAGATTACAATGGTTCTCCATTCTAAAGTTGCTGAAAAAACTACTTTCGGTAGAATATTGGCCAATTCACCAGGAGGCCTGAGGGCTAAAGGTAAGTGCCAGCATCACCTGTATCAAGTCAACCAGGCAAGGCCTAAATCAGTTCTTGGAAATTAAACATATTGTTTCTTCTGAGCATGTGAGGCCAGTCCTTTAGCCTTCTCTTTAGCTGCCAGCGCGGTCTCCCTCGCTCGCTCAGTGGCGGTTTCTGCCAAGGTTCTTGAGGGTGTTTCACCTACATGACGAACAAGCATGTTTATTGCAATGCTTGATGGATAAGTTGTTGATTAAAAATAAATAAATACTGACCTTGTATTTTGGCGACAACATATTCAAAACCTTTCATTGTTTTTGTAACACTGGTTTTAAATCTTGCCAGTCCAAATTCCTGTATGGTAATGCATAAAAAATACTCTTGAAATATTGCTTCAAATTAAAGCAGAGCTCACAGACATTTAATTGCTATGGAGCTGTTGTCAAGCATGATACAGTACGTAATTTTCATTATCCACTTTACAGATGGTAGTCAAGGTTTTTCTGACCTGAATAGCTCTTGAAAGGCCAAAAACATTGGAAGTGATCCAAGCTTCTCTCTTTATCTGAGTCCATCCTCCATTCTCAGGACATATGCCATACTCACACCGCTCCTCCACAGACTAAACAAGTAGTAAAAAGGTTAAATCAGGTTAAAAAATAATAAAAACTTAACATAGATGCAAATTCCATTACCATGAGACGAGCATGAGTAATATTCCATGTTAGTGTTGTCATGGTCCGCTTCTGAGGGTCCACAATTGAGTCCTCGATAATGTACGCTAAACTAGACATTTTCTTCGGAAGATACCTCTCCATCCATCGAGGTGCTCGGCTAGTTTTGGTCAAAAGACGTCTGGAAATAAGGCAGTTGGATGGAGTGACCTCCCGAAAAATGATGTCTTCGGTCAACACATGGTTACTGTGGATGAAAGTAGATGTTCAAGGCATTACACACAGGAGTAGATACAACACTTTCAAATATAGTCTGAAGATGATGACATGTAAACACTAGAAGACATAATTATATTGTTATGATAAATTCAGACTTCTCGCCTACATTAAGAAGTAAAAATACATACAAAGTTAAAGTATTAAAAATGAGTACAGTTTTTACCTGTAAGGGTTGGGGTATCGCTGCCAAAATGCGATACAAGCATGGTCCCAGGATGCTTTAAGTAAATCTGCACAGCAGTGATACTTCACCATTGTTCACTATGTTTAGATAAAGCCTGTGGAAACAACAACAATACACACAGTTGCAAAGTTTATAATTGACTTAATCCTAATTTCATGAAGAAACCATAGCAACTAAAGCCACATTTTGTGAAATATTAGATACATATCACTGAGCACAATACATAAAATTAAAGGATTGTGAAAAGATAATGTTTACAAGTGATCCAAATGAGGTTCCTCTGCAGAGTAGCTGGGCAGTAGAGGCCGAGGAGCTCAGTCATACAGAGCTTAGAGTAGAACAACAGCTATTCCTTCACATGAAGAACAAACTTTTGGCCTTCCATGGGTCGGGAGGATACCCCAGGGGAGACCCAGGACTCGCCGTTTCTCGGCTGGCCTGGGAATTAAGTGCTGGTCTGCTCAATAGTAACAAATAAAGCTTAACAAATGGATGTAGCAAAATTATGGCAAAATATCCTTTGATATTGTGATTTTACAATGTCAAGCATCTTATGAAAGGAGAAATGGGAATCCATTGAATCAAACTGTTGCACTAAAACGAGATTAGTTACTTCCGGGATAATTTGTGTTTTTCTGAGCACTTTCTTGAGAAACTATCACTTGACAGCTTGTCTCATCATTTTTGTAATCATCCACCACAGGTTTTATTCCAAATAGTGACCAGTCACACTGGTTTTGTACATCTTGTTATCGCTGTCACATCACGTTTTGACATTAGGTTAGATCATCAGCCCAAACTATTGGCTTCTGTAATAATGTACCATCTAATAGTGTTAAAGGCAATGATTTGGTAAAACTCTGTACAATGTCACAATGTAGAAACATTGACATTTCTGACTGAGTCAGTTCAGTTTGCTTAGCTTTAGCACAGTTAGCATGGAACAAAGTCAGTGCATGAATAAACACCACGTTTCCTGTAACAGACGTCTTCATAGTTTTAGGAATTACCTGTTGTGTAGATATAGCAATCACGAGATGAATATCCTCGCCCTTTTCCACTCGTTTAGTTGATAACTTCCCCATTCACCAGCCGCACTCTACAAACGTGTCATACGTGCCATACGTGACTCGCGAACTAGAAGGTCAAACATGACGTCATATCCGGCAGGGGTGTTTTGTGGCCAGCAGGGGGCAGCACCACACTGTCTCACACAGAGACCCAAAGTGGCTATGAGCAGCTCTTAAATGTATGCATTAATATTATCCAACAAAGCATTACATGACATGAAATCATCCAGTTGTATAAGGTCTTTTTTCATTATAATCTTCATTATAGCCCACACACAAAGTTCCACCTATATACAAGTAAGTATCAGAAATCCCACTCAGACTTAGACAGAGCAGTATTCAATGCAGAATGAGATGGAGAGGCGAAGAATACCATCAAACATGCCTTTTGGCTTCACCTTTTATGAAAATGTTCTAATGTTCTATAAATTGCTAAGTACACTCTCTGCAGGTGGCCGTGACTGTAGGTTTCGAAGGAACCAGTCAGGCCACATTCTCTGCATGTAACCTCTCTGACCAGAACCTTGGAATGCTACAAGGTTCTGGAGCATTCCAACAGAACCTTGCTCTCACATCTCGCTTTTGCCTCCTTCCAGTAGCCCTGACAGTTTTTGGTATATATTGTCATATATAACTACCAGAACCCTTTCTACTTACTGTATTTTAATTTTTAAATTCCTTTCTAGGTTGTATTTATTATTTTTCTATGATTGTTTTCTCTCGTTCTATATCAAATTTTGCTCTGAGTTTAAGACAAATTTCCCTGAGGGGGCAATAACATGGATTCTGTTCTATTCTATTCTAGAGAAAAATTAATGATAACAAAACGGGAACAAAAACCCAACACCCTACAATATTTGAATAAACCAATTATTCCAAATTAATACAGTTTCTCTGTGGGAAATTTCATTGTCATACAGTAAAGGTGATTTGCAACTTTTCTTGACAAATTGAGAAAGGAGACACATTTTTTTCTGTCCACTGCGTTGTCTGCCCTGTCCTCTATCGGGCTCGGTACAATCTATTTATGTCTTTTCAATATGTAATTAAACTAATACAAGTAGATGTTGGTCCTCTCCTGTGAGCCGAGCAGGAGCTCCTGTCTGTGGTGTTCACCGACTGAGAAGACCGTTTGATTAGTACAGTAGATTTAGATTGTTCATGGGATATGAAATTACCTGAGCTATATTTACTACCCTAATTCATTTCAAGTAATGTGTGTGAAAGTCAAATTCAGACTTATGAAGCTGAGCAGGGCAGGATGTGGTTAGTACGGTGATGGGAGACCTCTGAGAACATCAGGTACCAGAGTGAGGCAGCTATGGATGTAAAGTGACAAACTGTCATTGAGTCCTTAGGCAAGACACTTCACACTCTGCCTATGAGTCTGGTGGTGTTTGGAGGGTAGATGAATGAATGTCTTGCCTTTCTGCATGTTTGCTTTAACTAAATCCTCCAAATCCAAGTTCTGTTTGAATCATATGGAAGGAATGATTTGCATATAATTGTTGAACTGTCATTCAATGAAGATTAACCTTGAAACTAAATAACTATTGGTAATTTAAAAAAAAAACTGAAATAAAAAAGGCATACACCGTTCCCATAACAATTCATTAACCCAACATGCATTCATGTTTGCATTTAACAGGATGGAATTGTTAGAATAATTTATTGTATATTTTACTCAGATTGCCACAATTGGAAAAAATGACAACAACTGAACAACATTAAATTATAAATACAAAGTTTAAAGTTTGTCCTTGTCCATGTTGAATATGGCAGAATAAATTAGACATTCATTTGAACACATTTAAGAAGCAGAGAGCTTGATAGTTAACATTGTTTTTAGCACATTTAACATTTACTTTCTTGAAGCCAATGGAAGATTTTTTTTTTTACATAAAACAATAATGAGTGTAAACTGATTCTTTAAGAAACTGACGTGGACCATAACATTTCAAGTTTAATCGTTTCATATCATCAGAGAGAAGAGTGGATTCAGACAGCTGTGGGAGGCTGACCACCATTCCGATCATAAAGAGTCAGTCTTCTGGTGGAGCGAGTCCTGAACGAGCCCTCTGGGTGAAAGGAGTCTGGCTTGTCCTCGCAGCGGAAGACCATGAGGAAGCCATTTCTGTAGTTTTTATTCATCCACCCATACAGCAGAGGGTTGGTGAACGTTGAGCACATTGCTACAATATGAAACACGGTGTATATGAACTTGTACTCCTTGAACCTGAGAACTAGGTCCAGATCGCTGGCTAACTGGAAGGCATGGAAAGGAAGCCAGCAGATGGCAAACACCACCACAACCAGAGCTAACATCTTGGTGGTCTTCTTGCGTCTGTTAATGTTGTCATTACGTGTCGATGGGCTGATGTGGTTTTTGAGCTTCACCCAGATGCAAATGTAAGCATAGCTGATTATTGCTAAAGGTATAATGTATTGCAGAAGGAGCATGGAAAGACTGTAAATGATACTAGTTCCGTGTGGCCACATCTCAGAGCAGACTGAAATACGAAGGTTGATGGACAGTATCTCCTCGTGTCGGTATTCTCTGAAAATGGCCAGAGGTGCAGCCAGTACCGCTGACATGCTCCAGGTTAGTGCCATGATGATAAAGCTGGAATGCCAAGTTAGACGTCTGCCCAGGTGGAACACAATGCAGCGGTACCTCTCGAGAGCGATGACCGTTAAAGTCAGGATGGACACGTGCACGCTTAAGGCCTGCGCAAAAGGAACTGTATGACACAATAAGGCTCCAAACTTCCACTCATCCATCAGTGTGTAGACCAAAGTGAACGGCAAGCAGAAGGTATCCACCAGGAGGTCTGCCAGCGCCAAGTTTGCAATAAAAAAGTTTGTAACAGTTCTCATAGTTTTATAACGCACAATCATGTAAATGACAAGAGAATTTCCCAATAGTCCCAGAAGGATGATGAGGGAATACGCAGTGATCAGTGTAATCTGGACCCAGTGGTATTTGGTGATGTCTGTGTAGAACCCAGGAGGGACTAACCCCATGGAGCCGTTTAGGGCCAGATCATCCAGGTCATATGCATCTTCTTCTGCTGTGATGTTAGACAGATCTGGGGGAATCATTTCGACTGGAGCCCCGAAAAGGCTACAGGGACACCTAAAGGATATACAACAGAATGTATAAGAAAAGCAATTGGCTGCACAACTTAAAGAGACATATACACATTGTTTTCCTCATCTATTTTAGGCATATTTTCATCATGGCTTATTGCAACAATATTGAGAGTAATCATCAATATTAATTACAAAGTCAGACGTTTAATTTCAGACAGTGAGAATAGATAAACCATGCCTTTGCAATCTTCTATGCAATTCAAAAGGATATATTAAAGAGACATACACATTGTTTTTCTCATCTCTTTTACCAAAATTTCTAGATCTTGGTGAGAAAAAAAAACGTACGTCTTTGCAATCTTTGAGATTGCTTTGTTGGTGAGCACAAAAAGAAAACCGTGAACATGAAATATTGAGCTCAAGTTAATAAAAAGGATTGTACTACATGTACTGCAGGTAAAATCATTACAACTGAACAGAAAAATTACCGCCTGCGGTGCAGTGCTAGAGTATGTGTGGTCATTTTGAATAGCTCAACCTAATGAGAGAATAGGTGGGGATTCAGACACACTCACATAACATACACACTACATGTATATATTTTTTCTGCTTTCTGATTATGCAAATTTAATTGCTTAATGGAAATGAAATGTAGAGTGGATGAAGAGAGTAGAACAATAACAATGGGATGTGTTATAGATCAACATGTGTCTGCTTCTGCTGTTGTGTCCTTACACCAGACACTTATATGAGGTCTGGTTTTGTGAGCATAATTATCCCAGTGATTGGCGCGGGTTTGCAACATACATTATACACACAGTATATTCACCATCTGTATTATTGCTAAATGACACAAACACAGCTCTAGTTGACACTTGACACACTATCTGGAAACAGACTGCAGACACATGCACACTTTCAAACGCCAAACAAGCCCTTTCCGTGCATCTCATGACTGCATACACTCCATCACAATCCGGTGACATTTGGAATGAGCAGGTATACAGGATTATTCATGAAGATGTATCAATAAATAAGATCTCGTGCGTAATATTTCGCCACTTATTTCAAGTAAAAATGATCACGTGAAGTTTGAAAATACAAGTCACGTTTCGCTGCAAAGGTTTGCAATCTGCCATTCCAAGACACGAACAATGCACTTGTTGCCACAATTCAAACTATTGCTTTTATTTTATTTTAATTAACTTTATCTATCACTCCCAATGGCTTGTTAAAGCAGCGTCTTGGAGCCAACCTAATTCTCTTTTGATATGATAGAAGTATGATATCCAATGTTCTATATACTCACCTTTGCCACTATTTGTCCTTTTGCATGCGTCTCTTCACTTCCGAGTGAAACTGGCGAAATCCCGAAGCTCCTCCCAAAGTGAAAAGCCGAGTGCGCATCTTGAGCGTGTGTGAGCGCTTCAGAGGAGCGTCCAGCTCCAGCTCCAGCTCCAGCTCTCGGTCTGTGATGGTGGGGGCTGGCGAGGGGAGAGAGCCCGTGTGATGCGAGCTCTACATGAGCCAATACCAAACACTTTTTTTGGTTGCAATTGTTGTCAGCACATTCTAAACGTTTCCTGTAGTAGGATGCATCCAGTTTTTTTTAACAGATACAGAACACAACAAATGGATAGACAAACTATCATATGGTATGTCACTGTATTGGATAGAGACCTTTCACACCATATCCTCCCATTGGACAACAGATGGAAGTAACCAATCAGAGGAGAGTGAGTCCAATTAACATTATTTTCATAAATTACAAATCAATACAACAATAAATATTTTCCAGTTAGAAATGATTGTTTTTGTTTTCATTGGCCTCACATCGCTCTTCAGTCTTAGTCATGTTCAGAAACTACTATTTTATGAGTTACAGTTTAACACTTTTTTGTGGTGCTAGTCAATGCATGGCTGAAAAATAGGGTCCCATTCTCTGTCTACTTTTGTTCAATTTGCATTTACCTCTTCTTGGCCACATCATAACAAAATACAATATTATAAATGACACATGGAGGGTTTGACACATGGAGAGGATGATCCAAGTCCGAAGGGATCCCTTTTTCAATGAATGGAAAAAAACAACAACTGAATCAGAGGAAATTCCCTGCAACTAAATCCAAATAAATAATAATGAACATATTGTACTCGGACCTAAAGAGAAAAACAACAGATTACTAGCTCACCGTTGTTTATCTGGTTTCTGGACCAAGGACTTTGTAACAGACTGATCAATCAATCCGGGTTATACTTTTTTCACTTGAAATATTTCTACAAATCTTGAATTTCTTTTTTCCAAATATTGACAGCTCCTAAATCAATCTAATGCCTTTATCTCATTCAGAATTCTGCAACTTGCATTCCGACTCAGACCTCAAGCCCTGAACAATCTGGCCCTATCCCCATCTTTCACCTGCTCTCTTTGTCCCTCAAGTGAATCTGAAAATTAAAAAAGCTGCTTTCTCCCATTATGCAACTTGTAAATGGAATGCTCTGCCTGCTGCTATCTTATGTGCTCTGACACTGGCCGCTTTAAAGACTAAACTAAAGACTATCGCTTATGTGGCCTTCTAAAAAATGTTTTTGTCACACTGTCATGAAGCTTATACAAAAATGATTAGCTACAAAATGCATCCAATCACAGACTTTAGCTCAGTTCTATATATTGATTTAAAAAGATGACTATCTGTTAAGTCTGCGAATTGGTTTTCTCTGATTAACATTTTCAAGACATTTTATTTAGTTGAAAAGATGCCATGGCCCATTATCCACTAAAAATATTATTGAGACAGCTTATTATCCATGGAACATGAAAATCCATATGAACGATTACAACAGTAGCTGCAACATTTAACTACATTTAAGTAATGTTAAGGTGGCATTTATCACCTGCACATCCGTCGATCCATCCGTTTACTTCTGCTTTATCCATTGCAGGTCCAGCTCATCTGAGGCGTTCCCAGGCCAGCTGAGAGACAATGTCTTCCGTGGGCCCCATACGATCATCTAAATGCTCTTTTTGTTCATCGAGTGAGTCTGAAAATTTAAAAAGCTGCTTTCTCCCATTATGCAACTTGTAAATGGAATGCTCTGCCTGCTGCTATCTTATGTGCTTTGACACTGGCCGCTTTTAAGACTAAACTAAAGACTCACTTGCTATATAAAGACTAAAGACTCACTTGCTATATAAAGACTATACTATACTATACTATACTATACTATGCTATGCTATGCTATGCTATGCTATGCTATGCTATGCTATGCTGTCTTCACATTCATGGACATAGGTCTCTCCATATGGACCAAAACATATGTTTTCTATATTTTTTTGTCTTAACTGTTGATTCTCTGATCTGTGTTGGTGATTTAAATGGTTTTGTTGAGTCCTCTGAGATGACTGCTGTTGTGATTTAGGGCAATACAAAAATACATTGTATTGTATTGTATCTTATTGTTCTATACTATCATATACTTTATTCTCATAAACTGCATAGTCCAGTGTTGACATATATTGTGTGTTTATCTATTTGCAATGCATGAAATATTGATAAATTGTAACATTATCTATTATTACTATTATATTTGTATTTACATGCATAATGCCAAAGCAAGTCACTAGTTTGTGATTTTTTTTAAATTCTCCGAAAATTGCTGTAAAACGTACTGATAATCAATACATGTACATTTATACGAGGGAGTTGTGAATGAAGTGAAGAAGCCAATAGAAGCCTTTGTAGAAGAAAACGGAACCAAATGTTTCTTTTGCTTTCGTGTTTTGTTTTGCCTCGGGCTCTCACCGGGGGCCAATCACATGAGCCGCGTGCGGCACATGCGCAGTCCGCACTTTCCCTGGTAGTTCTGTGGCAGTGACAGAGCAACAGCAGGAAGACCAGATGAACACACTTTGAAGTATTTCTGCACACCTTTCCACCGCAGAACACTGTAAGTTTCACAAAGTATACCATAATTCTTTATGGTGGCGATGTTTGTGTACTCCGTGTGTAACCCTAAAGGTCACGTGATGTCAGTACCTCGCGTGCGCATATATATCCCGTGCCAAATCAAAATAAACATCAGAAAAACGTTTGACCAAAAGATTTTTATATTTAGTTCTCTTCTGTCCCGTGATTGAGTTTCTCACGTTAAACCCGTGTGGATTATAAACCTCCTCTCGCTCTCTCGCAGTCCTCAGAGTACACTTTGTTCTTTGATCAGCTGACAACTCTTCCACAGTCACAGCTCTGGGTGCGCCTGAATTGGTTTCTTTTCTTTGTCTGCAGTCTTTTATGTGCACCGACCTTTTGAAGGAGTGTCAGCCCTTCACCATGGCCTCTGTTGAGGGAAACCTTCGAGAGGAGCTGACTTGTGTGATTTGCTGTGACCTGTTCAGAGAGCCTGTGATGTTGGCCTGCATGCACCGCTTCTGCAGAAAGTGCATCAGCAGGTACTGGAGAGGCACTCCGGGGCCCTTCACCTGCCCCCAGTGCCGCAAACAATACAACAATACACAGCTACAGACTGACTACCTTGTGACCGCCATGGTAGAGAAGGTCAAGGGCTCCTGTTCATTTGTTAAGAACTATGAGGTACGTCTTAACTGGGTTTTCTCCTCAAGGCAAATGTAATCAGTGTTTGAGATTTAACTTTGTGTGTGTGTGTGTGTTTTACCAAATGAGAAGGCATGAAATGATTGAATGAACGTTTATTTGAACATGGGATAAATACAAGGGCGACAGTGGCTCAGTTGGTAGAGCATTGGCCTTTGAGCCTGAAGGTCGTGGGTTCGAGCCCACCTCAAGACCTACTTCATGACTCCCACTGATGTCTGCTGTCGTTGTGTCCTTAGGCAAGACACTTAACCCCACTTTGCCTGAAGCCCCCACTGAAAGATCTCAGCTCCTGTGGACTCACCACCTGCAGGAGGATCAGTGAGGGGCTGGTGCTCTGTGTACTGGGTGCAGCTCTGACTGCCACCCCCCGACCCAGAAATTGATTAAGGGGAAGAAAATGGATGGATGGATGGATAAATACAATATAACAACAAAGACATTCATGTTAAAAAAATAGTAGGAAACAGCCAAAGTTTATTCAATCCCACCCCTTCTCCCTATGTTAATTCAATATACTTTTAAAAGTTATAAAACACACAATGATACCTGCCTAAAACCAATATTTGTTCTTCATTTAGGGTTTATGTTCATGTAGGTTAAGGTATATCATTGTCCTTGTTTCGTCTGTGCCCTTTTGGCAACCTGTCTTGGATATTGGTCCTTGCAGTTCTGCAGCTGGGACCCATCTTTAAATGTTGACGCTCGCTGGAGGATTAATTAACTAATTAATTCAGTTGTTTATTTGAATGGGACAGTGCACATTAATCAACTTGTGTCTATGTAAATATGACAGATTTAGCCATGAAAGCTAGTTTCCATCTGTTGTCCCCTTGCAGGCTGAGGTTATAGCCATCGACAAACAAACAGAGCAACAGTTGTTATAAACATACAGATATAAACACAGAACACGGATAATCAGGACCTTAACAAACAGATTAGTTCACGCTCCGACTGCAGCTTTGATTGTTCATGAGCCACAGTTTGAGAAACCTTATGAAGGTTCTCAGAGTTTGGATGTTTCTGATGTGAGCGGGGACAGTCCTCCATGAGTGTGTGGCTCTCACAGAGAAGCTTGTATGTCCAAATGTTTTCTTTCTAAAACGAACATCACAGTCTCCTCTGCTTCACATGGATAAACTCTGGAAGGAGGAGGATGAATGATCTTAAACTAAAGAAAATATCATGGAATTGTATTTGATTTTCCAGCTAAAAAAGTTTGACAGCACAGTGGGGGCTTGGAATTATGCATGGTATCTAAAACTTTTTGTAAAATGAGATTGTAGAGTCTCACAACAGCCTCGGGTGTTGTTATAGACGTTGGCGCCTAACTCTAGTGTTTGTTGTGTGTGATGGGTAGACCACAGCACTGAAAGCAGCCCATCCAGACACTGAGAGAAGCATGGAAACTCACAGAAAGGCCTGGGTTGGCACAAAGGCCCAGGTCGGCAAAGAGACGTGAGTCATGAGTGCTACCTACTCAGCCAACGTGCCACACAAGAATTGAACTTTGTTTGCCAAAGCGGCAAATCCCAAGTTTGTCCACTATACAATAAATGAAGATTTAAAGCAAATTTACACATATCTGATTGTAATGATCTTAAAATTACAACTTCAAAACTCAAATCTTGAATTTTTTAAAAGGGAAATCATTAGATATTTTTCAGTATAAAGACAAAATGATTTTGGGAGGGCCTGAGGGTTCTTTTGATTGGTGCTCCAGACTTTGGGATTGGCTGCAGTAGAGAATGTAATTTATTTTCCATCATTAACTATCCAAATTCTGCTGCGAGCAAACTTCACTCAGCCCAATATCTTACCACACTCTCCATTATCTTTTGGTTTGAACACAATTGAAAGCATAAAACAAATCTTTTTTAATTTCATTCAAGAAGGATTATGTTATATAATTGTAGTGAGATAGCTTGAAGACAGGCAGAATAATATTCCATGAATACAGAATGATGTTTATTTTTATGATTACTTATGACTTGCTTATTGTTTCAGAAACAAGTTAAAGAGGCATTGGAGAGTCATCGGCAGAAAAGAGAGGACATCATAAACATTATTCATAAAGACGAAGACAACATGGATGCCATAAAGGTACGTCGTGCTGGCTCCTATGAGACATCAGCACGTAGCACTCTGATAAGGCTGCACAGGCTCCTCTCTTCCAGACGTGTTCTTTATGTCACTGTTGCTTTTACTTTTGGTTCTTAATCCTACAGCCGGATGTTGCATACAACAATGGCCTCAAGTCACTTCCTGAAATTCTTAGAATTATTATATTTAGGTAGAACTATGCAATGAATACAATCAAAATCTTTAAATAGTCATTGAAAATATTTGGTCTAGATCTCATCTCATCTTATCTGTCAACAAATACCCATTTTACTTATTGTGTAATTTTACTTGGTGATTGTCTGCTGTGGAGAATGGTCTTGCTTATAATAACATTTGTATTAAAATCTCATAAAACCTGTATTTAAGATTTTTACCATTAAAAAAATGCTCTAGGCATTCTGCAGTATCCAGCTGCTCCCAGTTGACAGTCAGACAAAAAGATGTGATGTAAATAGCAGATGGTCGATAAAGGACGCACATGCCATGATGGCACGCTGAACAGGAAGTCATTCTTTACTCAGACTTAATCATCATGTTTGATGTTCAGATCTTTGTGTGACAAGCATAACACTTTTATTCCTCTAGTGTTTTTAAACAAACATCATTTATAGCACAATACAAAGGTCAGTTTTGAAATTGTGTGCAATGTAAGGGTGGATATTATAATCTTTATGTTGGGCTGTACTGTCTGACTTAAAGGTCAATTCATCACAATCTTCATTGTCGTGTATCATGAGTTCTTTCCCCTGAACTCTTGCTAAAAGTGAGTAGGGGTGTGACGATTTATCAATTTTTCGATATATCGCGATACTTTCTCTCGCGATTCGATTATCAATATGTATTTGCCAAGTATCGATATCAATTTTGAAAAAAATAATAATTTGATTTTCTTATTGGTATCAATACTTAATATGGCTACATTACGCATTTCCATTCCATTTATCCATTTCATTTATCATGAAATAAAGTGTATTTTTTCTTTTATTTATGCCATAAATTGGTATATTGTATATTTTGGACCAATATATCATTAATCGTCATATCGTGATAAAATCGTTATTGTGATATTGTTATCGTGAGGTTTGTATCGTGTATCGTATCGTATCGTATCGTGAGGTACCCTTAGGTTCCCACCTAAAAGTGAGCCCTGGACAAAATTATCTTAATTCGGCTTTCACAATGTTTAACTGCACATTTGAACTTAATAAGTGTTTGACCCTGCCTGCGTGCAATATATATAAATTAACAAGGAAAGAATAATTTGAGAAATAGATATGAAGAATTTAGGAGTCACTGAGTACAAGTCCCAATCCACATGTTACACAAACGCACCCAACATTATTGCACCGCCCGCTCAGATTGGCCAGAGCTCAAGGTACCTCTGGTGTCCCAAACGTGCTGACGCCGCAGGTTTGGAAGCCGGTGCATTTGAAATCAGACGCAAGCTTAACCCGCATCCTGAACACACTGACCTACGTATGTGTCTCAGAGAGATAAAATTCAGCGCATAAATAAAGATGTCTCACTTACGTTGCGATCACTTACCAGATTATTCTCATGTCCCTACTTCTCCTTCAGCAGGCTGAAAATCCATCTACAATAGAAAGTATAATGTGAACTGTAAATTCACAGGTCAGGACAAAGGCGGATGGCCAAGTTTTGCATAGAAGAAATATCTGAAATACATTTATTTATGTACAATACATATCTGGCAACAAACAGTCAGGAGCAAATGGTGACTCTAGTAGCAAATCTGTGTACCTAATGTTTTTAAATAAACAGTAAAACAGTCCAAATAAGCAGTGTTGTGAAATTGTTTGTTAAATACATAGATTCAGATTGTGTGGAACAGGTTTAATTAGAAACACTGAATACAACGGCTACAGCATTGGTTTTAATAGGTCTTCCACATCATACTTTCAAAAGTGACTACTCTGCTCAGCACTACTCTATCTACCTAGTTACGCTCTAGCATCTGGTAGCGTATCCTAGAAACCAACCCAAAACAAACCAGTATATGCGGATTTCCTTGGTAACCATGGTTTCCAGTAGCACTCTGGCCAATCACTGTCAGTTTGTACACTTTTGTACCAGCCAAAAGAGACTGAAGAAGGATCTCTAAATCAGTAGAGGAGGTAGAGTAGAGTAGAGTAGAGAAGGGCCAAGTAGGACTGGTGGAAAAGGGGTTCAAGTTTGTCACTCTACTGATTTATAAATGCTTTCTACAAGTGTTGTCACAGGCAGCTAGATGCAATGGAACAACTCTCTCAAAGCAATTTAGATCCACAAATTCAATGCTATTTAAATCAAACAAAAGTATTTGAAAGAATTGTCTAAAGGAAATGCAGCATAGCAGATCGATGGCAGCAGTGTGCAAAACCTTCTCTCCATGCCACAGAATTGATTTTGTTTTACGGTACCACCAAGTCAACAAACTTCAAACCTGTATGCAGACAGTGTCGGCTGATTTGGAGGCGCGTGTGCGAGGCGAGTTCAGAGCTCTTCGTCAGATCCTGCAGGAGGAGGAGGACTGTGCGCTGGGGCAGCTCAAACGAGAGCAGCATGAGGAGCTGGAGAAGGTCCGCCATCATCTTGAGCCCACGGAGAAAGCCCTGAAGGACCTCGAGGAGAATATTAAAGTCCTCGAGAATACTAACCGCACAATGGAGCAATCATCTCTGACCCAGGTAAAGTGAGATTTAATGAGCAGTAACATTAGCTTGCAATTGTTAAGCCGTTTAGTTTCTTGTGTTAGAAAGTCCGATCTTATTTTTACTACATTGTTCATTTGGAACAGTATTAGCAGTAACATTTCTTATTTGTTTTCTTCCCCCAGCTTCCACAGCTCAGGTAAGCTTCACTTTATTTATCTGATTGTAAAGCCCAGTGGTTTCCAACCTTTTTCACCCTGTGTGTACCCCTCATGAGCCTAGGCAGGACCCAAGTACCCCAGTTGTTTGGAGTAACAGTGTCTCATGTATAGTTTAGGAAGATTCATCTTGTCTTCTTAGTAATTAAAGTGTTTTGTTTTTTTGTTTGAATGTATTTGGTTCTTCTAGTTGTCTGGTATAAAAGAACCAAATATACTCCATCCATTTCTTCAGGGAAAGTTTGTTTATAAATCCTCTTTTGCATCGTTTGATTATTTTTTAATCAATTGCATTTGTTTTTGATATTTAGGTACTTTTATTTAAGTTGAGTTTTAGATATTTTTGAACAAAAGGAGTTCATGCTTGACTGAAACCAAAACAGTACCAAAAGTCAGATAGGCTTTTTTGCATACTGATGGACCAATTATTATTGTTATTATTATTGTGAATTGTGTTCTCAGTTCATTGTTGAGAATAGACACCTTTATGTGGTTGTTTTCTATAGGGAAATATCTTTAAAATGATGTATAACATGCCATAGTTGTCCATAAAAACCTTCAAGATCATTTCAAGTACCCCCTGTTTTACCCCTTGTTGGGAAACACTGGTAAAACCCATTTATACTTTCTGCCTGCCATTTGTCTGGAAAAAAATGACCCACAGGCTACAAAATGAACACTGTGTTTTTGTTGCTGACAGGCCATGCGTCCAAGTGGAATTGGCTCCCGACTTTGATGCAGATGCTTTCAGCCACAAATATATTGCCCCATTACAATACATCGCGTGGAGAAAGATGTTCAAATCTCTGAAGCCAGGTAATTTCCTCTTTGTGCACCTCATTAGATGGCAGTATTCAGTTCCAAATGAGACCTCTTGAAACAATAGCAGTATTTAATCATACAATCATAGCAGTAATTCATAAGAAATGCTAATTGTGTAACCCCCAGGTCCCTCTCCATTGTTGTTTGACATCAACACTGCTCATCCCAACATTATCATCTCCCAAAACAAAACACTGGCGATGGAGAGCGATACTCCGATTCTTTACAAGGCGCATCATAAGCGCTTCCTCCAATGTGTGAACGTGCTGGCAACACAAGGTTTCCACACCGGCCGCCACTATTGGGAAGTGGAGCTGGGATCCAAATCCAAGTGGGACCTCGGAGTGGCCTCTGAAGCCGTGGACAGACATGCTCGCGTCAAGTTGAGCCCCGGAAACGGCTACTGGACGCTCCGGCTGCGAAACAAAGGGGAATACTTTGCCGGGACGCAGCCGTGGACGCGCCTGCAGCTCAGCGCCCCCCTACACAGAGTGGGAGTGTTTCTCGACTGTGACGACAAAAGAGTGTCTTTCTACAACGCTGATGATATGGGCCTTATTTATTCGTTCACCGATGGGCCACGTGGAAAGGTCTACCCCTTTTTCAGCCCATGTATCAGCAACAGTCCGAAACCAGAGCCCATCCAGCTGCTCCACTATCCTCCAGTCGCCTTCTCTGGCTAATCAAGCTGCTATCGCTAATGCTATAACTGGTTTCTAGGCTTTCTGGTAGAACTGCCATATGTGGTCGGAGTGGCGGGTCAGGTCTTTGGCTGGCTCACATTCAGCACAGGGTCATCGCCAAAGGGTTGCCTGAGTCCGAAACGCTTCACCCTCTACACACCCGTGATTGTCCCTATAAACGACCCTTTAAAATGAATGGCCAATAATCAAGGTCAGTGAGCTGTTCACTCTGCCTGTATATCAGTAAAAGGCAGAGACAGGAAAACTTTTATTGGACTTCTTTGGTGAGCTATGATACTGGGTTTTCTGTGGGCAATGCTGATACCAAGTTTTTTCTAAGTTTGACCGGCCAATGAACAATATAAAAGGCATGCAGGGTGGTATTTAATTCAGCAAATATGCAGGTTTCAAACGCTAATGAAATGTCCCCGCTGTGGCACAAATCTAATGTGCTAATAGTCATTGAGGACAGTTTTAGAGGTCACATGATTCCTTGTAGGGAATAGGCTCATTTTAAGCTAAGATTTAAGTGAAAGAGAGGACAACATTTTTTTATTGTTTCTCTTTTGCATTTGTTTTTTATTTACTTTTTACATTATGTAGGTATTTTGAACAAATTATTACTTTTAATGAATATTGGTTTGGATATTCTTTTTGGAAGTCTTTTCCTGAACAAAATGAGTTATGCTTTGAAAGAGAACTCGACCAGAATATGAGTGTTATAGACTGGTTCACAGATCATTAGTTTTGATGAATTATCACTAATTGTGTTTTGGGTTCATTGCTTAGAGTGTGATAAATTATGTGGTTATTTTTCTAAGAAAATTATTTTTTTAAAGCGGTGCAGGACCATGCTGGATATAATATATGGCCCAACCACATTCTCTCCTCTCTCCCCTCTGAGTGTTGCAACCGAGCAGAGTGGACCCGAGCTGTGACGACAGACGATGGGGGTGATCCGTTTCTCATGCGGACTGCAGCAGACTGAGAATGTGGAAGTGCAGCATGAGCCCAGAAACAAAATTATCATCAAATATATTGACTACACAACAACAACAATTCTGGACCATATCAGGGAGGGGGAGTCTGGATACAAGAATGTTCTAAGGGACATTGTGGCTTATTGACCGTAGAACAACCCCATCCTCAATACAGACAAAACAGACAATACGAAAGAGGAAAACCCCTGGCCCTCCACAGCCTGCCGTGGCACAGAGGTGGCACAGAGGTGGCACAGAGGTGGCACAGTTAATGGTACATGTTTTGGAGAATTTACAGGTAACATCTGACCTGAGCTGGACACAGAACACTGCTGCTGCTGTATCAGAATGCATAATCATCGCCGCACTGGAGAGCGACCTCTGCACAGGTCACTGTGGTTCCTGTGGAAAGGATCATAGGGACACAGCTCATGTTCTGCTCAAACCCAACAACTGGACTTAGACTGAGCAGAGCCCAAAGTATGAACACAAAACTCAACAACAGTTTCTACCCTGCCACTGTGGCACTGATTAGCCAATCACTGGCTTTATATGGTGTATTTTTCCGTTGCCATGCCTCACAGCAACATGGGCTGAATGTAGTTCTATATACAGTAACTATAAGCCAACATCATTCAGATTGTATTGTAGCAGCAACTCATGTAATCAGTTCGTCTTTGTGGATATCATACATTTTGTTGAAATGCTTTAATCGTCATGAAAAATTATATCTGATTTACTTTTTTGATCAAATCTGGAATATAAATATCTCATGCTTTTCTATTCTGCTATCATAAAAGTATTACGGTTATACAGTATTTAATCTGAGAGTTTGCACTAGAGCTGTATAATTAATGTAATAAATCATTGAGAGAATAAACCAACTCCAGAAATGAAGTAAATCACTTTCTGTTCTCAAAGCAGTGTAATTCTTGTTGCAGCTGTGACACAGCAACACGTTAATGACCCCACTTCATAAAACAAAGGATGTTATTAAGGATAATCAAAGGGTTTTGTTCAGCTTGTCCTTGATGAGAGTCCAAAGCCATTTTAACTGACCAGCACCTGGACTGGAGCTTGTGACTGCACGAGCCATCTTCTGACATTAACAGCAGAAATAGTAGGTTTTGGGTTATCTGCACAAACACAGCGGAGCACCAGCGTCCTGTTTCCTCCTCCAGGTGAAGGGTCAGATAAACAGCTCGGCCTTTGGGACAGGATACAACAGGATGCTGCTGCCTCTTCTGCTGACTGGAAAGTGTCACAATGAACTGCACCCAAATGAGACAAGAGCTTCCTGCACAACAGCATTATGAGTTTACTTGTGCAGATGCATCACCAACAACTACATCAGAATTTGAGGTTTTAAAGCCTTAGTTCTTAACTTAAATATGTGCAATTGTTTCTTCAAAACGTTTTGATTCTGTCATTATATTTTCATCTCTCACTCCGCCAATCCTCTCGGTATGTTTTCTATAAGATGATCGGATTTGTTCACAAAATGTTACCAAAGACTCTTTCTGCTGGGACTAACAAACTGTATTTATGAAACCATTGAAGGGAGGTACACCTGCTTTAACACTGACCTAAGTGGCAACCAAGCAAACCATAGTATTTCAAACATGTTTTTTTATTTATTTATTGATTGATTTATTTATTTGATAGGGACAAGTGTACACAATCAACATGTGAAACACTGCAACATTTATAGCCAAGGCTAATTTTTATACAGACATATATACAAATTTCACATAAAGGTGTATGCCTGTAAATATAATGTATCTGTTGATAATTGTAGTTTATGCAACTCTAGCAAACTTAGAGTAAATAAAATCTCAATTATTTAAGAGGGACTCGCAACCCCACACAAAATATAAACTTTAAAACTCCTGAGGCACATGATACATAGGTTAAAATACTAAAATTTCAACACTTTCTTCAGGGCAAACATGCTTCACAATAAGATTTTTAAAGCAGTACGCGGGCATGAACTTGACCAGGAGTGTGTCCACATCCGCCACTGGTCAGCGGCTGTGGGCCATAATGTGCTTCCTGAGCTGAGCACCGGGCCGGACGGAGCCCTGACACTTCAAGGACAGGGCCTTGAGTCTCCGCCGTCTCTGTGGAGAACGCAGGATTCAAACAGTGGAGATGAGACTATTGTTCACTGCCAACAAGAGATACTGTTCAAACCCCAATGTTAGAATGTTTTATATCTTTGTTCAACAGTTAGAAAACAGTGATGACACTTAATTAGCATTCTTTCTTTCATCCGACTGTGGTCAGACTACCAGGGGACAAGTTGGAGTACAATATTTTAGACTGCAGTGTCTTTGAGAGCTGTTGTAGGGGCTTTTTACAAACAAAATCCTTTAAGTAAGCAGTTGCAGTACACCATTGGTACCACTCAGAAGTACAACAACTATTCAGCATCTATTGTAACCATTAGAGTAAGTAGCTAGAAGTATGGTACTTTGTTGCCACCCCCTGTGGAGCCGTGGTCCAAATACACAGTTCAAACTTGTGACCTTCTTACGGTGTGTTATCAGTATTATCCGCTCAACCACCATCCTACTTTTACTCTTCAATTCCATGCAACAAAACACATTATATTAAATGGAATTGTATATGTTTAAAAAATAAAAGGGTATATCTGTTTTTAAATGTTTTCAAAAAGTTGTATTCCTCTGGCTATAATCTTCATTGTGTTTAGATATGGGCAGTTTATTTTAAAGGATTTGTTCAAGAATGGGTGATACCTGCTTTGTATGGCACTAAAATTGATGTGGCTTTTCAGAAAACTACTTGGTGGAAGGAAAATGTTTTGGGTTTTTTTCTTATGGCATTTATGTGTTTTTTGCATATGAACTATAACTGAGAATTTCCATAAATTAAATATACTTTGTTTTACATTGTCAGATATATAATAGCATTGAATAGAATAGCATAATAATAATGTCATCATTGTATAGGGGCCACAGAGATTATTTCACACATTTCATGTCACATTCACCTTAAGGCTGTTTCCTTTTTCATTTCAACTGAACATTACTCACAACACGTCGCCTCTTCACTCTGAGTTTCCCAGAGGAAGAGAGAGGTCTGGTGGTTGGTACTTGCAGGCATCATCTGTGGGTTTAACACATTGTCCTGGAGAATTAACCACAATCTGTGAGTGATCCACCGTGTGCTTTCAACTTGATAAGCCCGATAGCGGGCAATCGGAGAGCAAAGCATTAATTGGAAGTGCACAAATTAAAAAAATGATTTCCATAGAAGAATGATGAGCAAATGTAAATGATGGTCTGTAGTGACGAGGCTAATACAGCCATAAAATGCTTTCAAACTCAGAAACCACAAAACAAGTTGAATTAACACAAATATTCTAACTGAAGACAGTTTTAAGCACTTTGTAATGTGTCTGTATACCTATTATAATAGATCCATGCTATATACTCTGTATTTGGCTTGATGGAATAAATATGTCGTAATAATTATAAACAGAACACACAACATTATGACTTGTGGATGTTATGCTTATTTCATAACATCATGATATTATTTCTATTGTTATTATTTATGTTGTTGTTTGGAAGATTAACCCCCAATGAAACATCTTGCTTTTATTCCTCAAAATTGCACCTAGTGATAAATAGTAAGGCAGTAAAGCACAAAAAAAAAACATAATTCACATATGATTATTATTATTATTATTATTATTATTATTATTATTATTATTAACATCCCTGTAATGGGTTCCTCAACCAATTTGTGGATCACTTTTTGAGTTATCATATCTACTTGGAACTCTATCACTTAGTTTTATGCAAAAATGCATCTAAACTATTTGGCAGAGGCCTATGATTAAAAAAACTATGGGAATAAAAACTAAATAAAACATTTGTTGTTAGTGCTCCTACATATTAGAAAATTAAAACAAGAAATAAAATACATTATTATTCCAAAAAGGAGCGAACATTAAAGGGTTATTATTATTGGCATCATCATCATCATCTTAAT